TCTATCGACATTAAAGTAACTAGAAAACCTAAACCAGCTAAAAATAACACACGACCTTATCTTAATGAGATTCCTGCGCATTTTATTCATAAGATCAAGACAATAGCCTATGACGTCAGCAACGTTAATTTATTCCCCCCCCCACCTTAATGAGATTCCCCCCAAAAAAAGAGGAGTAACCGGTCCCTCCTATACTACTTGCTGTGCTTTCAATCTTTCCTTTGCGCAAAACAATTTTTAACAAAGATTATTTCATTTAAGGAGCTTCAAAAATATTCCAGGACTCGCTGTCCCAAATACTGCTCGGTATCCGGAAAAAGTTTTGGCCCTTAGGGCTGTATTTATTTTCGCAAATATAGACGGGAGCCTGGGCGCAACCCTTAAAAGTAATTAGACATTCATTATGCATAGAAAAATTGTAATTCATCTTACTTTTAATGCGAGTGAGTTGTAGCCGTTTAATAATACTGCAATTAGAGAACTAAATGCAAGTTACTAACTTGTTCAAGGTTTAATGTCCTATCATTCCAGAGTCGAAAGTTGTTTTCAAAGTGGCCTACTAGTTTTGTATCTGTATCTTGCTAAGCTTTTATCATTAAATTTACGCATGATCTTGTCAAGCTTCTACACAATTCTGTGTCTTCGCCTATCCAGCAAGCGCAAGTGAAGTCGGCATTAGCCAGTTTAGATAAACTGTGAAAGTTCACAACTCGCTTGCGGAAAAACGGACAACAAAAAACCTGCAACTTTTTTTGCAACATGGCTGCAAGTTGAATTGCGATGTTACGCGTTTTACCACCTACGTTCAAATGTGTTAGCAACCTGATTTGTTGCAAGACAGGTTTCATGTTGGTGGTAAAACTCACAACAACGCTATACAACTCGTTTTGAAGCAATGTTGCATGACAAGTTGAATGTTTTTTTCTTTCCCGTTTTTCCGAACCTTTAAAGTTTCTTGCCCTGACATGGAGGAATAATTTAAAGCCACCGAAAATGAGAAGCTTAAAACCCTATTTTAAGCGATTTAACTCGAAACTGCACATGACGTATACTGCCTAAAATGTTAGGGGGAAGTACAGTATAATATGAATGAACCATAGCGTTTAGAATTAATATCAAAGGACCTTATGGGTCAACTCGTGGATGCAAATGACATGGGATATGAAAATTTATGGCCTTCATTTTACGGAGTTTATTGGATTTCATCCTTATAATTTTAGATTTAAAGTCCGGTTATTCTCTACATCTTTTACGGAGTACGTATTTTTTGCATTAACCGCTCAAGATTTTTGTTCTGACTCCTCCTTTGAGTGTCATTTATTAATTACTTAATTGATTCAACAGCAGTCTCATCTGAAAAGTTAATAAATACTCAAACCAGAGTAAATAATTATATAGTGTCAGACAATTGAAAGGAATAACTAGTGTTATAAATCCAATAGTAAACTGTCAGTTTTTACTTTTTTGATGACATGTTTTGCACTTTTTTTTTATCTCTCCAAGGCTGATTTCATCAGTCGGGCTCATTGGGGGTAACCAGGCCAGTTTTGTTGCCAGTTAATTTGTGTTGGGTGTTCTGTGCATTATTGGGTTCCCTGTGCAATTAATATGGGAGGTTTTTTCGCGATTGCATTTGTCGTCGTCGTCGACACACATTTGCCTCGCTTTGAGGCGCTTGCTTACGTTTTGCCTCACGTTGACGAACTGACTCACGTGGTGATTCGTGCGTCCTCAAGCCTTGCTAAGGTCTTTTATTCTGTCTTCGTAAAGCATTCATCTTTTAAAAGTTTGCTGAATCTTCGTAAAGGGTGCATATTTCAAGAGTTTGCTGAAGGTCTACTATCGATCTGTGTTTGCTGAATCTTTCAAAACTTTCATCTTTCAAAGTTTCGGCGGCCGTTGTGCCACAAAGTAAATCTACAGAGTTGTGTAGCTCGGCGGCAGTTGTTCCTCAAAGTAAATCTGCCGAGATGTGACGTTCGGCGGCGCCGTCTCATCATGACTTGTGATATTTTCGGCATCGGACAAACGAACATTTTAGATCTATGTTATTTATTCGGAAAAACTTATAAGCAGCCCACAGTAGCTCCACTCAAGTCACTGAAATCAACACACTCTACCAAACTACTGCACTTATTGAGACGGACCATACGATATCACTAGCCTTCAAGGCTTTTTCTTAGTTGAAACTGAGAGGTTTCGCTGTAAGCAATCCTTACGTTTTAAATATGCCATGATCAAATTAAAGCTCAGTTTCCATATGAGCGCTATCATCACTGTGATCGCAGCGACAACAATCGCTGAGATATAAAAAGTTCTATCTCAGCGATCATTGTCGCTGCGATAGCTGGAGAGTGGTTTCCATATGATCGCTGAACTTTTTTTCTCAGCGATCGCAGTGATCACAGCGATCGTAGCGATCGATCATATGGAAACCGGGCTTAATCTACCGCAATAACCATCCACCCTTCCTCCTCAACTGCTACCTGTACGCCTTACAAACATATCGAACGCACTCTTCTAAGCTCCGATTACTCCTAGTATTATAAGCATATGAATGTCTCGTGAAAATCGCAACTGGGCCAGGGTTTCCGAGAAAATCTTAACACCCCAGGGACGTAATTAGGGGAGAAGCCCTGTGGTGTCCGTACATGGCCCCTCCTTTAATTTGTTACCATGTACTCTGAGCCGAGCTCGATTAAGCAATAACAACTTGCATTATGTTTCTTGAGAATGAGGAAATGATTGTCGCAGTGAACGCAATTTATGTAATTGCCATGAATTGCGTAAAGAAGCCTGAAAAAAAATTCAGGACTTCAAAGGGGTTTGAACCCGTAACCTCGCGATTACCGGTGCGATGCTCTACCAACTGAGCTATGAAGCCACTGACGTTGGGAGCAGGTCAATTGTGGGTTCATATGTTAATGATATATGAAATAAATCATATATGAACTGCGGAAATGAAATGAGAATGGTGAAATGATCGTCGCAGTGAACGCAATTTATATCATTAACACTAATACCTTTCACGGGAACAAATGGACCCACAATTGACCTGCTCCCAAAGTCAGTGGCTTCATAGCTCAGTTGGTAGAGCATCGCACCGGTAATCGCGAGGTCACGGGTTCAAACCCCGTTGAAGTCCTGAATTTTTTTCAGGCTTCTATACGCAATTGCATAAATTGCGTTCACTGCGACGATCATTTCTTCATTCTCATTTCATTTCCGCAGTTCAGATATGATTTATTTCATATATCATTAACATTACATTTCTTCTCGGTATTTTGACCGAGTTCGTGGCTAGATGGAATCTCTCAGAAGGAGGTGACCGAGGAAGACTAGAAACGAGAGTCTTCGGCTTCGTGAGACAAGATGGCGAATCCCGCGATCAACTTACGTCGTCGGACTAGCAGAATTTACGAATAAAGAACTTCGAACGGCAAGGGAAATGTATATGAGATAGTTTTAAACTCCTCTGTTACTTAAAAATGAGGAATCTTTTGATGATAAGAGCATAAGGGAGCAAACACCTCAGAATTGCTAACATGGAATCCCTCAGAAGGAGGTTTATTTAGTTTATTTTTAACTTGTAAATGGAATCCCTCAGAAGGACTTTGGCATCCCTCAGAAGGAGGTACACTGTACACCGCGCTCGCAACCCTCACAAGTCCGTTTTTTTGTTGACCAACGACTGATTTGAAACAAAGTGAATTACTAATATTTTTCAATTCTTATTCGTTAGACTAAGTGTTTAGTGAACTTGAATCACAAAACGTGTTTTAGCCTTCCTCTAAAAGTATAAAAAAGGATTTGGTACGCCTACAAGGCATTTACCCTTGCCATCTAAAAATTTTTTAAAGTCTGTTTTGGAGGATTCGTAGTGCGGATTGAGCAAATGTTTTCTTGACGCTTTTCTTTTACTGAGAGGTCATACGGTCTTTTACTGTTCAGTCGCTGCCTGTGGTTTCTTATTTTTGCTCCATCATCCATCAGGCTAGCTGAAGGTGTTAGTTTTTCCTTTCTTTTTTTAAAAGTGGCTTAACAGCCTTTAGTGTTTCAAAGTTTTTTTTTTCATCGACCAGAGCTTATGTTTATGTTTAGATATAAGGCAGTTCAAGTGTGGGAAAGTGTCACATCACACTTAAAGTCCCTTACTGAACCTGCTTTTAGAAAGCAATATAAAACATTTCTTCTTTACAATCAGTAATAGTAGATGTCACAGTATGCCCTCTGTTTATTGTGCGCGGGGCGTAAATGAGCGCCCAGGTTAAGCTGTACTTCAGTTGGTATAACATTTACTGTAGATTATGCTGATAATGTGCCCGTTAATCTTAACGAATATAAATCTTGGTTTTTTTGTGATTATATTCAAAAATGACGGTAGCCAACTCGAAAGCCTCGGCTCCTTTGGCCACTGTACACATTCTCTCTAGATTTTCCATTTATTAATTGAACATTTTATTTCTGTAAGAAAATTATTTATTCTGTATGCCGATTATCTAATTTACACACCTAGAGCTACGGTTTTGTAACCGAGTTCGATTAAGCCACGCAAAGAAATTTCTTCCTGGTTCTGAGTTGTGACTTTTGTTTCTAGCGGTCGCCAGATTAATGCGTCATAGTTTAAAACAGTTCTAAAAGCTGGGTCTGTTGTGACCTTTCTAGCCCTAGGTATGTTGTGATCAGTTTTTCGGCAGTGGTTCCGGTAGATTTCAATGTTCCTTGCTGCCAAGGGCGTTATAGTCCATTTTAAACAACAATTCTACAAGCTGGGTCTGCTGTGACCTTTAAAACTGTGGTATGTTACGATCAGTTTTCCTGCAGTGGTCCCGGCGTTCCTTGTTTAGATACCGACTCTAGTGAGCAATGTCACAGTTCATTTCCGATATATTTTTTACAAGCTGCTTAGGCTTTGACATTTGTAAGCCTGGGTATCCTGTGATTCAGTTTTTCTGCGGTGGTCTCCCACCCGGTGCTCCTTGTTTTGACACCAACCTGGTGCGTTTTAGCCGCCGCCAGTGTCCTGTGTCATAGTTCATTTCTTCTACAAGCTGGGTCTGCTGTGATCCATCCGATGCTGTGACGTTCTCGGTGTTTTCACTCAGCTTAATAGTAATAATGGGTCCTTGATGCGCGTACGGTTTTTCTGTAAGGAGTAAACAAAAGTAGAGAGCTTTAGATTTGGGGACCAGGACGAAACAAGTACGAGATTTCACTTAAAGTTTTTTCGCGTATTCTCGAAAAATATTCAGCCCGGAAAGCTTCACTGTACTATTTTTCACCTGAAAAATTAGCGCGATTATTTTTATTGGAGAAGGTTTAGCCCTTTCCCGGTCGCAAAATAATTAAACTTCTCAAATTGGATAACTTGTTACCGCCACTACGGCTATCACGTTTTCAGGCCGAAATGACGTTGGCTCACGCAAGAGCACTACTTAGTACTAAGAAATTCTCGTATTCGTAGTCGTCCTCGTCTCAGAATCTAAAGCTCTCTAGTATTAAGTTACTGAAACCCAAAAAAATATCACAAAAGAGGTTAAAGCAGCCACTGCGATAACCTGTTTCAGTCGTTAAGATTGTGGGAGCGGCCCAAAAAGATGTGAGCAGGAAAAACAGCGAGGGGGAATGGGCTAGGGGGTGAGAGTGAGGGTTCCCTCCCATATATTTCTCTCTCCCTCCTTTTTGTTTTCTTCGCTCTCTGACTTCGCGCCGTACCACATTATCTCAACGCCTGCATGAGAGTACCACTGTGAAAACGAAAAAGCAAGAAAGAGGAAAAAGGCCAAAATGTTTTTGTACAGTGCAATTTTACACTTCGTATGTATCTCTGCTGTTCACTACACAACACCAAAGATGTACACACTGTTAACCTACCTCGTGCACCAGCCATGAATCCCAAAATAAGAGCTTTTTCTGCTCGACTCACACAGTTTGCATTCTTAAACATTTCATGAGCAGCCAACATTTGGTCTCTCTGAAAAAGAAAGAAAAACGAGAAAACGCTTTTCCCTGTCTACTCACAAAAACAAACCTAGTTTGCAGTGATTTTGTCACAATTTGCTATGGTGAGACCTAGGATTCATGTGGACATCTCAAACCAGAATCAGTGAATCCTAATCCAAGAATCAATCAAGATCATCTTCAGGTCCCTCAAGCGATATTTGCGTCCTTCATGACGCGTGCCCTGAATTTATTTTGCGTCTTTGCGGATTTTAATGCGTCAGGGACGCCGCCGGGGTACTGTAACAAAATCATTTTGTTGGTTAGTGAGAATGGAGAAGAAACACTTTGAGGTGAGACAAAATTATACGACGTTTTTATCCTTCGATGCTACCATTCAAACGAATCTAGGTTAATTATTGACTTTGATTGTGACTGCTATCATGCTCACATCCCCACGCGCTTACTTAGTTTGTTTAGCTGAACGCAAGCGATTTTGCTGCCGTTCTGTTGTTATCCTCCATCCCTTCCATGAGGAGCAAGAACTCCATTTGGTAATTAAATTTTGGTTTGAAGCCCAAACGTGCCTTGATTGCGACATTCGTTAATTCTAAAAATCAGTCAAGTAATAATTCAAAAGTTTGAGCGTAAGATCAAACTTTTTGACAGAACTTTTACTGTCATAGCAGTACTTATTTATTTCTTCGAATTTTACAAAAAGAGATTTGATTTTTAGGGGTAACATTTCCTTTGGCCATTGTTAGTGAGTGTACTCACAGTGAGGGTAAGCTGTCGTTTGCTCCCCTATTGCTGTTGACTGTTGCCAGGGACACCAGGAGAGGCTGCAGATGGTGTTCTTGTAGTATCTCAATGGATGGTGTTGTTGACGTCGAGGAGGTAGCTGGTAATGCTGCAGCTGCTGCCTGTTCCTGTTGTTTTTCTCTCATCATCAACTGTCACTGATGTTTCACATGCATCTAATAATAATGATGATAATAATATTAATACTAACGATGACGGTAGCAATGACGACGACGATGATGATGATGATGATAACAAGAGAGAAATTATAATGATGACAATGATAAGGATATGTATAATAATCAAGCACAAGTGTTTGGATGTATGGGAAAACAAAGTTTTAGTCGAAAAGACAGACCACCTCTGACATCAACATATATATTTCAATTTTAAAAATTGTTTCATCAAATATGACACGATAATCCTTGGAGACCAAGGGGGGAAACTACATTGTAGTTACAAAGTATACAAGACGAATTAATGGTGAACCTAAAAACCACTTACTCATAACCAAACCAGCTCCAGAACTTAGCACTTGAACTATTTGATCTAATACATTTGCTGGTCTTTCACAAAAATTAATAGGAATTGAAATGCTTCTGGAATTAGCTGCCCCTGGGTCTTGAAGGGTACAAAAGCACTACCCTCTCCTCCCCCCCAATCCCCTTCTACATAAATAAGGACCGGTCCCTAAGCACGAGTGAGACCTGGGTACCAGACCAGACTTTGAAGCCTTCTTCGAGTCACCGCGAGCCAATCTGCGAGCGGTGAGGGATCGTTCTACTTTCTGACTCCTTTTTCAGGCTAATCATGACAGTCATTTATTTACAGCAGTGGAAAAAGGGAAGGAAATCAACAGTACGCAAGACTGTCGTGTGACTTTCGAGGTAGTGTTCTTTGTTTCCGTGTTGTGACACAATCACTTCAGGGAGAAGGAAATCACATCTTCAACAAGGTGATCGAGTGCTGCGTTGCGACTGCGGATGACTCTTTAATACTCATCAGGCTCTGCAAAAAGTAGGTAATCTGTACGATGTTTCTTGAGGAAAGTGTCATCATGACAACATTAAATACTTGTGATTGTACTCATCAATTCGACACTTTAAACAGCTCGAAATTATTATTCATTAATACAAACGTTCCTTGTTCTAACTGGCTTCGACGATCTTGAAAACGTATTATTGAAATCAGCATAAGATCCCGAAATCTTCCTTTTATTGTTTTCTTTAACGATAGTTTATCTTCTTGCAGTCATACTGGCCGTCAGTTGTTCATTTTTCCAGATCACCTCTTGTCAATGATTCCTGGGCAATGAATGTGGATCAAAGTTAGTTAAAAATCTAAAAACCAAGAGCGGAATTACGGAAGGAATTTATTCCTGCTCGGCGTAGAAACTGTTAACGACTGAAAGCTTTTTTTAAAAATTTTTCAGAGTAAATTGTTTTCGAAATATTTTCCTATCAGAGAATCGTTTGTTTCCTATGATGTGGCGTATGAATCTTCATTAAGTTGAAATTTCGATCCATTTTTTGGCTATTAAAAAATAACTGAAAAAACCGTAGACGAAGATCATGCTGGTTATAAACGTCGGATCTCTAGAAAAGAGATCTAATCAGCTAAATATTAAGACCCGAAAACGAGAAGTCCAGACTACTGCAAAGCTGATCAGAACAACGTGTATTGTTTTTTCATAACAATATTTCGGCTGGCCTCTTCAGGTTTACAGATGTTATGAATTTATGATAGGAATCACAATATTATTTAGATGGAGAATGTCGCAATAAAAATGGTTTAAAAGGGAGAGGCGGAAATGACGTACAACACCAAAAAAAACACAGGAAAAGAAAAAATAATAAGGATATGGATTACAACAATTCGTCACGGCGGTTTAGGCCATAAGTGCGACTGCCTACCATTGGGAACGGAGTCACGTGAAGAATGAATTTTCTCTAGTGGGATTAACAGCATGTCAGTATGAGAATGGTTAGTGTGAGAGAGAAAGTGTTCAGAAACAGTAATGGGTTTAGATTTAATCTTAGTTTCGACTGCACGTCTGTGTTCGTTAAAGCTGTCCTTGAGGCGTCGCTTAGTTTCACCTATGTATTGTAAATTAAAACGGTTAGATTGAACCATGTAGATCACGTTTTTATTGTTACAAGTAATGTGTAAAGTGATGTAGCGTGTTTCACCTGTAGCGTAAAAAGTATAACATGTAAGGCCGTTAGTCCGTGTTTGGACTAGTGGCACACTTTTGTCCACAGCGGAGGAAGCCTGGCGGAAAATGATTGTTCAGTAGAGTAATTGTGCTGCTGCTTTAACTAAAAGGTCACGAAGATTAGGGCTACGTCTGAAAGTAACAAAAGGCGGTTGCTTTGCAACGGTTAGAGGAGTGTAAGATGTAAAAATGTTTGCGTAAGATATTACAAATGAGTGGAAGTGCTGGATTATACGTGACGACAAAGGGTACAACATCGTTAGAATCTTTAGGTTTAGTTTGTAACGCGTTAGTACGAGAAATATTGGCGGCGCAAAGAAACTGTTCTTCTAGGAAAGTATTATAGTAACCATCAGTAAGGAGATATGTTTTTGGTTCATTAATGCGAATTTTTAACTTAACGTCTGTAGAGTAGATAAGGCGGAGACGACGGGCTAAGCTGAACTGAATGGCTTTCTTAGTGTGCTGAGGATGGCATGATGAGCTGAGAAGGTGTTGATGTTTATCTGTGGGTTTAGTGAATAGATCAGTTTCAATTATAATAATAACTAGGGTATCTAAAAGATAGTAATGCTGCGGCACATTCTGTTGATCCTGGCATTAGTTAGGCAGTGAGACTTAAAAGAATCAAAAATGACATTGAATGTCCTATTTACATGTTGGAAAGTACTTGAATAATTACTATCAGTCTATAGAAAGAACTCGTGGGAACGTTGTTTAGAAAATGATCAAGTGGTTATCAACTTGGTTTTCCCACAGTAAATTGTAGGAAATAATCCATATATTTAATATACGGTGCACGATATTTTCTCTGGAAACACAATACTTTTCTTGCTGTTTGTTGCACTTTATTAAGTAACAGTTATTTAGCTATATATTTATAGAAAACAACAACACAAAAAACGGGAAAAAAAAGAAAGAAGGAATAAATAACTTAGTAGGATTCGAACCCGGCACCTTCGACTCGACGCGACTACACTTAACCACTACACCACAGAGACTGAATACGTGGTTTTTAGGAAAAGTCTTTCATTTTATTCCTTTTCCATGAAACTTTCGCCGGCAAGATGATCGTCAGCTTCATTAACCGCGCTATTAACAGTGAAAAAACAATATAAACGCATATTCCATGGCAATAAATGAATGAACGATATACGTCCTCGTCTGCAAAGTAGGACACAAAACATATGTTTTGTTATATCGATTTCCGCTGTTATTTTGAAGCGAATGGTCAAAATCACGTCCATTTTCGGCTCATACAGTTTCTTAAGAATAGCATTGCGTGACATTTTCTCACTTTCACGTCACCTTCTAGCAAGCTGGAATTTGTATATCCCCCGTGTTGCGGAGTCGAGGAGCAAAAAAGGCTCTTGAATTGAAATCCAATCCCCAAGGTTAACCATCGTACTCATCTGAAAGACTGCTGCGTGTCTTAAAATTTGGTAAGACCTCTAACCGTGCTGTAGAAAATTTGCCACAAAGAAAACTCTAAGTCTGAGCAGCGAACGATGCACTCTCTCACCCACCGAACTTCCCCGTGTTTTTATTTGAGTTGTTCGTGGCGCAATGCACTCTGGTTAAATGCAATGCATTGTGGTGAAAAGTGTGGTTAAATGCAATGCATTGTGGTAAAAAGTGATGAATTCGAGAATTCGACGCCCCTTATATATTTCCTTTAAGTCCTGATTATGTTGCTGTTCGCTCCCTTCGGTCGCTCCGCAGCCGACAATAATAATTTGTGAACTTACTGTGCGCAACTTAACATGAGAATGATCAGCTGCGCATTATACAACTGCATTACTTTACAAGAAACAACCAAAAAATAATGCATTTAAAAGAATAACAATAAAAAGAATATATATGCATGCAAGTAAAGCCTGGTTTCCATATGATCGTCCGGATCGTCCCGATCGCCCCAGTCGTTTCAAAATATTTCGAGACGATCCGGACGACTGGGGCGATTGGTAGTTTCCATATGATCTTCTCGATCGCCTCAAAGGCAAGAGACGCGGGGTCGTCAGCGATGTCTCTGGGTCAGACAATAGAATTTTTGAGCGTGTTTTGCAAACAAGCCTCATAAATGGATGATTTTTATTCGTAAAGCCAACCTCGTACCTTGGTATCTGCTTTTTCTCTTGATTTTGCGGCATTGAGAAGCTAGCTAGAAGAGTTCCACGAAGACATAGTATTTCAAAAACTTGATGTCACGGACTTTCTCTAATTTCAAATAACCCCCATACACGCTGCGAACATTTTGCTTCAGCGCCATCCGGGCCGAATTTATTTTCGATTACTGGAGTAAAAGTGATGACCTCTGGGATAGCCGTCGATCGTCCCGATCGTCTGAGAGCGTTTCCATATGATCGCTTCAAAATTTACACGATCGTCCCGATCGTCCGGATAGAACTCAACTCTATCCAAGCGATCGAGGTCGTCTCAGTCGTCCGGGTCGTTTGCGATCGTCTGGGTAGTGTTTCCATAATTATGATCGTCCCGATCGTCTGAACATTTTTTGAGACGACTGGGACGATCGGGACGATCCGGACGATCACATGGAAACCAGGCTTAAGTAACCGAATGTAAAATTGATCACCAATATACAGTTCTAAAAAGATAAGTCTTAATATGCGCCTTAAACCTGTTCACATCAGTAATCGCACGAAGTTCTTTTGGAAGAGTTCCAGAGCGTTGGGGCTGATACCATAAAAGCTCTAGCACCTAACGTAGTCTTCGATCGAACAGCTGGCATAGAAAGTAAATACCTGAAGATCTAAGGTTATATAAAGACGATTCAAATGTTAGTAAATCGCATACATTTTACTTAGGGGCAAGGCCGTGAATTGGTTTGAACGTAATAAGCAGTATCTTAAACTGTATCCGGGCTTTAAGAGGTAGCCAATGCAGACCACGCAGAAGGGGTGAGATGTGGCGAAACCGAGGCGCATTACAAACTAGCCTGGCTGAGGCGTTCAAAACTCTCTACAATTTGTTAAGCTGGTAGTTGGGCAGCCCATACAAAAGACTGTTGCAATAATCAACACGAGAAGTGAATAAATGCATGGAGATGCATTTCCGTTGATTCTCGAGACAAATACTTGCGAATGCGTTGATATTATGCAAATGGTAAATTTAGGCAACACCACATAACTTAATTGCTAATATGAGTTGACATAGTGAGCTGCTCATCAAACCATGAGCCTAGGTTTCTAGCTACTGTTACAGGAGAAGCATCAGTCCACTCAACCCTAATGCAATTGATGTTAACCTTTGCCAGCTGCTGCCTAGTACCTACAATTAATAATTCTGTTTTATCATCATTATACCGGTACTAGAGACACCATGACGTCGAGAAATGGTACGTTAGTAAGAGAGTGAGATCTAGTGAACTTAATAGTGGGATGAATGTTATTGAGATAATCGACGAATATTTTATTGAACGATTCCGACCTTCAGTCCAGATCATGAAAATATCATCGATATATCTCCACCACGTGTGAGGCTTCCAAGGGGCGTTAGTGAGAGTGTAAGTTTCGAACATACCAAGAAAAAGGTTAGCATCTCTGATCTAGGGTACTGTATAAGTCAGGGAGAGCGGGGGCCAAGAAGGATTTGTGGTGACACACAAGCCAATTAGAGTCATCTTTGTAGATAGTTCTAACGCAGTATCGCTCCTAGGCAAAAACTGCTGTGCGCATACTTCCAGAGTCGACCATGTCAAAGCAAATTCATCATCATTTATATATATTTTGCAGGTTCCCGAATGGCCTCTGCTACACCTTCATATGCCTCCACCAAAGAAACAACAAATTATGCTCGTCTTTGTCGTCTTCTAGTGGATGTAGGATCTCAGGTATTGAGAGACAAGTTTGATAGCATCCACCCACCAGCTGGACTCCATGGAGTTTTAACTAAGCCACCAGTACACCCAGCACTACAGAACCTTAGGGGACGGAAAATTCTGAATCCCACACAATGGGCCAAGCTGTATCCCACGAATCCCTTGACCCTATCTTCAAAAGATTTTGATGTTACACTTTTGATGTTGCTGTTAAGGAACATTTGTGGCTTGACTCCTCCAGCCACTGGTTGGGACAGTCTCCCACCTGCTGCAGATACAAGTGTTGAAGCTAACATAGCAAGAGTGAAGTATTATAGAAACCATGTTTATGGGCATGCCAACCAGGCATCCGTGGATAATCCAACATTTAATTCCTACTGGCAAGAAATAAGTAATGCACTGACAGGACTTGGTGCTGATGCAGCGTCTATTAGAAGGCTGAAGACCGAGAGCATGGATCCTGTGATTGAAAAACACTACAAGGAATTATTGGGGGAGTGGAAGAAAGATGATGAGAGCACCAAGGACAAACTTGATAAGATCGAAGGTATGTTGGAAGCATCCCAGTTCACAACCAAAGCAACTCAACCTCGTCCCCAGGTCTTCTCGGTTAACGGTGCCTTAACCTGTGAAAACGCTGCATTTTTGACGTCATTTCCTCGTTAAACACAAAAATATACCATAACGGCTAAACCAATCAAAACGCTAGAATTGCATTATCAAATGACTCAGTTCTTAATAATCGCGACTATATTTAAGTGATTGAGGGAAGTGCTTCATAAAACACAGAATTTTGTATCTTTTGTTCCAAATGTTAAGTAGAGTGAAAGAAAGATAAATAATGTTTACTTACCGTAAACGTTTGGTGAGTTTGTGTTTTTTTTGGGTGCGTTTAGAGTCGCTTGAAGTTGACCTACATGCGTACGTCTTCTTGTGTATTTTAACGGGCAGCGAGCTTTAAGCAAACTTCACCTCAACTTCAGTCGCCAAAGTTATTTTCTAAAGCTATGGTGATCAAAACGGTCGCAGCCTGGATCACTGTCAGAGTGGACCGCAGATTGTGTGATGCCGAAGACACGAGGCAGGTGTTTACTTGATTGTGAAGAAGTGGACACAAGAGCTTAAAAAGTACGTTTTGACCTCACAAATCGTAGATTTTCTTTCGTTTCGACGGGTGACAAATTTCTCTGACAGGAATGTTGTATTTTGTTGTTGTAGTGGTTTCAGTTTTTCACTGTTAACGAATTAAATCGTATCTTTTCAGACAAGTGTCCGAATTGTAGCAATACTCAGTGAACATTAACCTAGGGGCAAAATCTCCGGTATACTTTGCAGTTCCCGTATCGGTTATGTGCCACTTTATAAATTCTATTTTTCATTCCTACAAATCAAACAGAAAAAATAATAATGTAAAAAAGCCTTGCCTTTTCTTGCCCTCTATTAATCGCCGGTTCTCGGTCTTCAGTCGTCATCCTGCAGTCCACGCTGTTTCACGTTTAAGCGGGATCATTTGTAGCGCGGTAAAAGTCCCCGTCAGAGTCCTTCTCCAATAAAGATTATGCCCCGCCCGGTTTTCTGCTTGTTAAGGGTAGAAGTAACTTTCCGATGTTTTAATGTTGAAATAAACAGACCAGCTAAAGCAGATGAATGTTCAAGTACTGGAAAGTCAGCAGACAATCAGTGAGAAATTGAGAAGCTTGACGGATTCAGTTAACCCGGTAGAAGCAGACCATAGTAAAGGTAATTTGTTTTGCTCGTTATCAAATCAACGAGAACCCGTCACGACTGAACTGCTGGAGTTACGAGAACGACATCATGTTATAATAATTTTGAGCTCCTATGCGTTCGGCCTATATTGTTTGCAGACTGTTTTATTTTTTTTTACTGCCCTGATTGCTTTAATTTTCCAAATCAAAGCGTTATTGTGAAAGAGGTACGATCAGACAGCCAATCTTCCTCGAATATAATTAAGAGAGCGTTTGCAGTCAAGAAGCACATCATGTATTCTACAAAACCGATCTCATTCCTGATAACAGATAAAATGTTTTTAACGGTTCTCGTCATTCACCGCATTACACAAGTTGGGATGAACGTTTGTCATGTACTTCTTTCTTATCTGGATGACTGAATTACTGCCATTTCATTCCACAGAAAAAGACGACCTCGAAGAGATCAAAAGTGAACTAGGAAACATTAGCGAGCAGCTGCAAACGCTTTTAGCAAAACCTAGAGAGGAATTAAGGCCATTAAGGGATAAAGGTAAGTCCCTCAAAGTTACTAATGCATTCATTGGCTATTTAACAAATCGACCACAATTTTGTATGGTCTACACTCTTATAGGCCATAGAATTGACGTCATAAAATGTTCAAAACTGAAGTGGAACCACAAGCCGCAGGCGAATGGTTTCACTGCAAAGTTTTGAACATTTTATGGCGTTATTTCTATGTTCTATAAGAGTGTAGACCATGGAGAATTGTGGTTGATTTGTTTTTTACAATAACATTTTTTTTACGAAAAACCAAAAACAAAACAACCGGCACTGCGTGACATGTTACGTCATTTCCATGGTCTACTGACCTTCATAGACCACAGCTCTCGACCAATCAGAGCGCGAGGATTCGCTCGGTTATTTAGCAATTAATGAATGAGGCGGAGTAGGATGTGAAGAATTAAGCAGAATGAGGAGGGTGTTATCCACAGAGGCCGAAGGCCGAGGTGGATAACACCCTCCGAGATCTGCTTAATTCTTCATATCTTACGAAAGCCGAATTCATTAATTGCTTTATTATTCATTCAAAATAATTCCTAGTTTAAAAAAAATAGCTAAAACATGCTTTCCTGCATTGATGTTAAGTTCATCTTCGATAGTGTACGTTTAGGTTTGTCCAGCTCCGCAAATATTCTCCAAATAGCAGATGTCGCCCTCCGAGTTGTCTTTTTGCTGTTTTTGCTGTTTTTAGCCATTATTACTTCGGCGGAGCGCGAAGTAAAGGTTTCGCGACGCTCAGGAATGTATCAAAGTTACAATTTTTTGACAAGATTGGGCATGCAAAGTCTGTAGGTTTTCGGTTTTATTCGGCTATTTGACGAAGTGAGAGCCGAATTAATTCGAGATATCTCGAGATCACTTCGATTTCTTTAATTTATTCTTTAACTTTTTCGAGGAAGAAAGAATTATTATTTTGGCTTTCCCGGGGTTTGAACCGACTTACCTGTGTGACCCGTCAGATCAGAGGAGACTCTAAGTTGAGGGATTAGCCGATTGCGCTACTGCGACCCAAGGTAGTTTGGAATATGAAAAATAGTTATGAAATGATGCACTAGTTTCGGGACAAGATTGGGCGTGCAAGTTCGTGACTTTTCGGCTTGTTTCAACTATTTCACGAAATGAGACCGGACTACTTCGTGATATCTTGAGATCACTTCGAGTTTAGCCTTAAATTACTCGAGGAATAAATAGAGGATATTTCGTGGCCGCGCAGAGACACGAAATTTCTCTTCGAGGGTTGAAAAACATTTCACGAGTGAGCCCTCCTTTCGAACTGTTTTATGATGAATTTAAAGTTACAAAATGCTGCAAAAAGACATTTTGTCTTTGTTCAGTGTTACGTAGTCAAATTGCTTTCATGCGTTGCGTGACTTTCTCGAACGTTCTCTACGTTTTTGGATTAGCCATGAATAGTTAATTAGGGCATGTTTACATTTCTGCATGAGTCAGCAGATTTGCATCAGTTACTGAAATCTTAAAATATGTCGAAAAGCTACTACTACTCGCCTGCTGTTTAGTATTCTCTAGAACCTTATGTCAAACGGTATACAAGTTCCAAGCGAGTTCTTTTGAAGAACTAAGTGTTTTTCCCACGAGCTGGGCTGCTGTGTTTAGTAAAGTGTGACGAAGGTCGATTTTCAGGTATCGTGTTTACAAGTTCGCGGAAGCCGTAAGATATCTGAAGTTCAAGTGAGAGTTTGTTAATATTGGTAGAGGCTGTTTAGTTTTATTCAAAGTTCAAGTCAAGTTTGTGTTGGTGGATGCTGTGTTTTAAAGCTCTGTAAAGGCTATGTTCCTTTGGTGTTAAACTTCCTTGTGTTAATCCGACATCCCTGCATGCTGATAGTCAGTGAATAATTATCCTCAAAACATTCGAACTCGTGACTTTGAGTTTTAGCCAATTCCATGCTCAACGTAATTGACTGCTTACCCATGCCTTACATATCTTTAATCAGTACATGAGACTGCTATGCTGTTTCTGAAGCCTGATGTGACTAAGAAAAATAGAGAATTGTTTTTTAGAAGGATTTGTATGGAGTCATCAGAGCATAACTGGGCTAATATCTCAGAGACAATTTGTCCCCAGCTAGTTTTTGGCAAGTAGGCCTCTTGGATGTTGCTCTTTTCAGAATATCCTGACAAATCCCATAATTTCACAAATTAACACCTTACTCTAACCATATTTGATTTCTTACTATTCCTCCGCATTTACAATTAATTGGTTCCACAACCACGACGCCGAAGTGTACGCTCCGTAGCTTCTTGTTTCGCCTAGTTCCAGCTGTAGTTCTTACTCTTGAAACGAGTGAAGTGTCTGCCATTTTAGTTTTACAACGAAAACAACTCAACCTCGTCCCCAGGTCTTCTCGGTTAACGGTGCAATAACCTGTAGAAGGCTGCATTTTTGACGTCATTTCCTCGTTAGACACAAAATTCTTCCAAATTTGGTCATCAGTAAGCGGATATGGTGAATTATGCGTGTGCTTTTAGCCAGTGAGAATTGGGCAAATATTTTGAATGAATAACAATGTAAAATAAAGGATCGACGTCATGGTCGTAAAAAGTACAATGGCCATCCTATGATTGCCTTTGATTCTTTAGATTATTTTCACCTGTGTTAGGCGTCACTCCTGAACGTTAGAAGAGGTACAATGAAAAATTAAATATTTCGTTGTTTTCTAGTAAAACGTCTTCAACTTTTCATTTACTTATTACTTTATTATAGTCATATTATATTATTAGGGGAGGAGGGTAGCAATACGTGTATTCGTGCGAAAAGACTCGCTTTTGTGTTTTCTAAAAGTGTTTCAACCAATTAGACCGTGATTACAGTCCTGTTAACTTTGTTGGCTATTTCACTACCCATCCCGATAAGCTACACTTCCGTCTCGCCTCAAAATAAACATTAAAAAATAGAAATGAAATAGACATATTTTGATTTTTTAGCTTAAGACACACTTGAAAGATTTTTTGTCTGTTTTAAAATACGACATAATGATTTAATCAGTTATGTTTTACTAGGGTTAAACATGACAGTAATATTATACTACAATGATATATTTCATGTCCAGGTGCTTTTGATCCAATTGATGTCATTGGTGGAATTCGCCAACTCTACCGACTTCGTGAAGGATCTTTCGCTCCCTTCCCTTGGTGCGAAGAGTTTCGATTCAACATTAACGACATTTTCACCGAACTCAAATTTAGCAGGAAAAAAGGAACTGGAACGGAGACTTTTGAAACTGTTACCATGTATGACATCTTCAAACCCCACGAAGAATGCCAACAGCCTAGAACAGTGTTAATTGAAGGAAAGCCGGGCATGGGAAAGAGCTCATTTTGTGATAAACTTGCTTACGATTGGGCGACGGAGAAACAAGGGCCAGAAAGGTCTTCAGGAAATTCTCTTTCAAACTTCCAAGTAGTGTTTTTGCTTAAATGCCGAGATATAGCTTTAAACATTAAGGGAAGATCTGACGAGCGACCTCTTTCTCGAGATGTCAAGGACAAAGAGGAATTTAAATCTGTCCTTTGGGACGCCATTGAAGAGCAGCTTCTACCTCTAGATATCACAAAAGAAGAGAAGGAGGAATTCTTTAGATTCGTTCGCCAAAATCAGTCAAGTGTCTTGCTGGTACTCGACGGATTGGATTGGTTACCCACTAATATGTTACCAGCGTTTAAGGAAATCATTCAAGGAAGAATACTTCCAAGGTGTCACATTGTGGTTACAGCACGGAAAAAGGTTGGAATAAAGCTGCGAGGGTGTTGCGATAGCTTGGTAGAAATTTTGGGCTTTACCAAAGAAAATGCCGAAACGTTTATTGTCAAGTACTTCAAGACAGAAGTAGGTTTGGCCCGAAAGCTTTTAAATAAACTGAAGCTTGACATAAACCTAAGACAGCTGACCGAAAATCCTTTAAACACTGCACTTCTTTGCCTTCTCTGTGAAGACTTTAATGGTATTTTTCCCGAAAGTGGCACACAGCTGTACCTTGAAATAATAGAATGTGTTCTTAGAAGATACAGAAAAAAGAGAGAATTACCAGAATCCCAACACGAAAACCTCACTCAAGTGTACAAACCTCAGCTAAAACAGCTTGGTTCGATCGCGTTAAATTGTTTGCTGAACGACAGTACTGCCTACTTTGAGGAAAACAAGTTTGGAGATAGTGCGAGCGAGATACTTGGATTCGGATTTTTGTTCGTTGAACGTAGCCGAAGGAAACTGAGACCTTGCTTGTACTATTGCTTTCCGCACAAACCACTTCAGGAACTGTTTGCGGCATTTTACCTCAGTTGCCTGCTTCTGGATAGGAAAATTTCTTTAGAAACTTTACTTGCCGACGACAGATACTTCCATGAGCTCAGACAGGTGCTTATGTTCACATGGCGTCTGATCGCTTTGCAATGCGAAGAAATGATTGAAGCCTTTGTCCAAATCTTTGCAAGCAAAGTAAACAGAGTAAGCAAAGGAGTTAGCGATGAATTACTCGTTGCATTGCAGTGCATTCACGAATGTAAAAATGAGAGGGGTAAACTTCATCTGCAGTTAGCGGGTAATTTGGGCTCGTTTTTACAAATTCGCAAGGCGGAGATAATGTTTCCTTACCAACCCTATATGTCGACCAGTATTGTTGCAGTGGTTGCGGAGGCGATCAAACACAACTCAACAATAACGCAAATGGATTTGTCTGGCGATGTCTTTCACACTGACTGTTCTGCAGTACTTGCGCTGGCGGAAGCAATCAAACAAAATTCAACAATAACAAAGTTGGAATTGTCGATCTTCCTTGGTCACACCAACTGCACTGCACTGGCGGAAGCAATCAGACACAACTCAACAATAACACAGCTGGATTTGTCAAAAAATCAACTTGGTGCTGCTAACTGTACTGCAGTTGCAGAGGCAATCAGTCACAACTCAACAATAACACAGTTGGATTTGTCACACAATAACCTTGGTGCCGCTGGCTGCGCTGCTCTTGCGGAAGCAATCAAACACAATTCAACAATAAAAGAGTTGCATTTGTGTGACAATGACCTCGGTGCTGGTGACTGTAATGCACTGGGAAAAGTAATCAAACACAATTCAACAATAACACAGCTGGACGTGTCATGTAATCACCTTGGTGCTGCTGGCTGCACCGCACTTGCGGAAGTAATTGAACACAATTCAACAATAACGCAGTTGAATTTGTCACAGAATAGACTTATTAAAGGTAACTGTAGTGCACTGGCGAAAGCAATTAGACATAATTCGACAATAACACAGTTATGTTTGTCGGAGAATGAACTAAGTTTTGAAGGTGACTCTACTGCACTGGCGGAGGCAATCGAACATAATTCAACGATAACACAGCTGGACGTGTCATGGAATAACCTTGGTGCTACTGGCTGTACAGCACTGGCGGAAGCAATCAAACAGAATTCAACAATAACACAGTTGAATTTGTCTGGGAATCTCGATCTCGGGGCTCCTGGCTGCATTGTACTTTTGGAAGCAATCAAGCATAATTCAACTATATCACAGCTGAATTTGTCATGGAATAACTTAAGTGCTGTTTGCTCTACCGCACTTGCAAAAGTAATCGAACACAATTCGACAATAACACAATTGAATCTGTCTGATAATAAACTTTTTGAAGGTGATTGTACCGCTCTGGTGGAAGCGATCAAATACAATTCAACAATAGCACAGTTAGATTTGTCACACAATGATCTCGGTGCTGGTAACTGTACCGCACTAGCGGAAGCAATCAAACACAATTCAACAATAACACAGTTGAATTTGTCATGGAATACCCTTGGTGCTGCTAGTTGTACTGCACTTGCAGAAGCAATCAAACACAACTCATCAATAACACAGTTGGACTTATCGGGGAATATCATTGGTGCAGCTAACTTTACAGCAATAGCGGAAGCAATCAAACACAATTCAACAATAACACAGTTGGATTTGTCAGGGAATTACCTCAGTGATGCTGGCTGTACTGCACTTGCAGAAAGAATCAAACACAATTCAACAATAACACTTTTGGATTTGTCATGGAATAACCTGAGTGCTGCTGCCTGTACTGCATTTGCGGAAGTAATCAAGCAAAATTCAACAATAAAACAGTTGATTTGGGCAATGAATAACCATAGTGCTACTTGCTGCCCTGCCCTGGCGGAGGCAATCAAGCTAAATTCAGAAATAACAGTGGACTTTAGTTACGTAGCCAGAAAACGCCGCTTGTTTTATCTTGAATAACAGTTGAATTTGGCAAGGAATTTGAACCACTTTTTACCATTTTGCTACGCCATCTTCAAATGTAAATTACACTGGGAAACTGTGTCCTTTCAATTATAAACTAACCAAACCAAACGGCTTTGGTACCTTATCCGTTAAGGTGGCTCGATGGGGTTTTTACCAAACTGCTTCACTACTGATTTTCAACCGTGAAGAAACACTCCTTTTAAACATGATTTTCTCGAAATATCAACGTTACATGCAAACTAGCAATAGATTGAAGTTTTATATGCAGTTAGGTTTTTGAAGATCGGAGTAGACCCTTCAAACTCAGACGCGCTTTATTCGAAAATGTTTTCACAGAAATCAACCAAACTTGGCCAAAGTGCCACTCATAGTGAACAGTGATCATACTTTTAAGTGAATCTTCTAAAGAGGTTGTTTCTCTCAGCAATCCCGCCAAATAACAGAAGCTTCCTATTGTCGCGTTGCTAGGGACGCGCTCCGATGTTAAAAAACCCAACAGCATATGAAATTTCAATCTATTTAAGTTTGCATGCAGCATTGATATGTTTCGAGAAAATCATGTTTAAGTGTATTTCTTCAAGGTTGAAAATCAGTAGTCAGGCAGTTGGAAACCTTATCGAGCCACCTTAAAACGCCTTCGCAAAACCTTCGCACCTATTCACGGCTGACGTTTTAGCCAACCTGTCAGCAAGTTCGTTTACGAACAGTGAAAATACTGTCCACTGAGGGTTAAGTTAGACTGCAGAAAAATTGCAAGCCTTTGCAAGTTGAGATTTTAAGGAGACTTAAGAGGTGGCCCGAACCTATTTCTATGCGCGTTGGTTACGTTTTTGAATAGCGTTTTTCGGCTTTAATGACTTAACCGATTTCCATGATTTTTGGCATCCTTAATAAAAAATGGTCGAACCTTAAGAAAATGTTATTTATTTTTTTGTTGATGTAAAAACGTTTGAGATATCGGCATATGTTTAAAACCGCATTTTTACAAAAAATGTCAATAATTTCAAAACCCTATGACAGATTTTTTTCTAACTTTGGCTCAGAGCTCTCTCGTCTTATATGTGCAAGTTTGAAGTCAATCGTGACCGTAGAACTCGCTGCACAAATAGCTGGTCAAATTTAACTTTAAAATGCAACGCTAACACGTTTGTGAAAGTTGACGCACGAATAGCGGAAAACTGCCGGCGAACTATCTCCTATCTGCAAGGGTATTCTTCCCCAAAGCTTCAGTTGCAAGAAACTGAGTTATCAGAAACATACGGCGAATACAGTTCGCAATACTAGAAGAACAACTTGCTGCGGGCCAAAGTTAACAGGGCCAAAATTTGGGCACGGGATGCGTGATTATTTGCATGTCTGTCGGGAATTCGGGAAATCGTGGGGTCTAGCCGCAAAGGTGGAGACACCACTGACGTTCAGTGGTGTCTCCTATCTTGAAGCAAACTATAAATGAAAAATTGCCCTAGGCAGTCAAGTAATCAACACTGAGACGATCGGATAGAAGACCCACTGCTTCAGACGGATGCCAGGAATGTGCTCGTGGTCCTAGCATACCAGTGTAATAATTGCTCAAGCTTTTTACATTAATTGTTAATCTGATCTTGAAATTATTTGATCAGTTAAACTTAAGATATGGCAAACAGTACAATGATCTCGACTCTGCTCCCTTGAATAAATCACACAGTCATAGTTTTGGTGTCCTTCCTATCTTGTGGTCACAGACTAGTCTTCTAGTTCTGAACTTTTGGCCCAATCGATCTTTTAAGCTACATTGCTTTTATTCAGTTGTAATGGTGCTTCACACTCTTTTACTACACAAGCACTTTTTACACTCCTCTTTTTTTTAATAAAAAGATCCCATTTACTTTGACATTTAGATGTTTACATGTATATCATGCTTTTGCAATCTCTGTAATCGTGGGTGCCACGTGGGTGTAATCGGGCCGCCATTGGCATTATCTAGTTCTGACTCGTTTCGACACTTCTAACGGTCGCCAGATTGTTGTGTGTCATAATGAATTTCAAATATAAGTTTTAAAAGCTGGGTCTGCTGTGACTTTCGTAGCCCTGGGTTTTTCTGCAGTGGTTTACATCCCATGCCGGTAGGTTTCAATCTTCCTCGCTACTCTGCGTCAAAGTTTATTTCAAATAATATTTCTACAGGCTGGGTCTTCTGAGACGTTTGTAACCTGTACTATGTTGCGATCAGTTTTCCTTCAGTGGTCCCGGCGCTCCTTGTTTAGATTAAAACTCAAGTAACATTTGCCATAGCTCATTTCCAATGTTTTTTTACAAGCTGCGTATTCTGTGACATTTGTAAATCTGGATATCCTGTGATTCAGTTTTTCTGCGGTGGTGCCCCACCCGCTGCTCCTTGTTTTGACACCACTCTGGTGCGTTTTAGCCGCCGCCAGTGTCCTGTGTCATAGTTCATTTCAAATAACATTTCTACAAGTTGGGTCTGCTGTGATCCATCCGATGCTGTGACGTTCTCGGTGTTTTCACTCAGCTTAATAGTAATAATGGGTCCTTGATGCGCGTACGGTTTTTCTGTAAGGAGTAAACCAAAGTAGAGAGCTTTAGATTTGAGGACAAGGACGAATACGAGATATAACTTAACGATTTTTCGCGTATTCTCGAAAAATATTCAACCCGGAAAGCTTCATTCTACTATTTTTCACCTGAAAAATTAGCGCGATTATTTTTATTGGACAAGGTTTGGCCCTTTCGGGGTCGCAAACTGATTAAACTTCTCAAATTTGATAACTTGTTACCGCCACTACGACATTCTCGTAGTAGAATGACGACGGCTAACACGTCTTCCCGCCGAAATGACGTTGGCTCACGCAAGAGCATTACTTGGTACTAAGAAAATCTCGTATTCGTAGTCGTCCTCGTCTCAGAATCTAAAGGTCTCTAGTATTAAGTTATTGAAACCCAAAAAATATCACATAACCAGCCAAAGAGATTAAAGCAGCCACTGCGATAGCCTGTTTCGTTAAGATTGTGGGGGCAGACCAAAAAGATGTGAGCAGGAAAAACAGCAGGGGGTGAGAGTGAGGTTTCCCTCCTATTTATTTCTCTCTCCCTCCTTTTTTTTTCTTCGCTCTCTGACTTCGCGCCGTACTCCGTTATCTGAACGCCTGCATGAGGGTACCACTGCAACAACGAAAAAGCAAGAAGGAAGAAAACGGCAAAAATGTTTTAGTGCAGTGCAATTTTACACTTCGTATACAGCTGTTTCGAGAAAGGTTGTCGGAAGAAATGCGCACGCGACAATCCCGAAAGGTAATATGGGATATGATCAATACACTGTTCGTAACGACTGAAGCTGTCGAACCTACTTTTGTTGCTTTCCTTTAGTACTCGCAAACATATGTCCATGGCCTCCCGTGCCATTCTTCCAAATTTCTTTGAAGAAAAGTGCCCTCAAAGCCACCCACAATACCTTTCGGGATTGTCGCGTGGACTTTTTCCGACAACCTTTCTCGAAATAGCTGTATATATCTGCTGTTCACTACACAACACCAAAGATGTACACACTGTTAACGTACCTCGTGCACCAGCCATGAATCCCAAAATAAGAGCCTTTTCTGCTCGACTCACACGGTTTGCATTCTTAAACATTTCATGAGCAGCCAACATTTGGTCTCTCTGAAAAAGAAAGGAAAATGAGAAAACACGTTTCCCTGTCTACTCACACAAAAAAACCTGGTTTGCAGTGATTTTGTTACAATTTGCTACGCTGAGTCCTGGGATTCACGAGTCCAAAACCAGAATCAATGAATCCTAATCCAAAAATCAATCAAGATCATCTTCAGGTCCCTCAAGCGATATTTGCGTCCTACGTGATACGTGCCCTGAATTATTTTGCGTCTTTGCGGATTTTAATGCGTCAGGGACGCAGGGGTACTGTAACAAAATCATTTTGTTGGTTAGTGAGTATGGAGAAGAAACACTACGAGATACGACGTTTTTATCCTTCAATGCTAACATTCAAAGGAATCGAGGTTAATTATTGACTTTGATTGTAAACGGCTATCATGTTCACATCCCCACGCGCTAACTTAGTTTGCTTAGCTGAACGCAAGCGATTTCGCTGCCGTTCTGTTGTTATCCTCAATCCCTCCCATGAGGAGCAAGAACTCTATTTGGTAATTAAATTTTGGTTTGAAGCCCAAACGTGCCTCGATTGTGACATTCGTTAATTCGGTCTAAAAATCAGTCAAGTAATAATTCAAAAGTTTGAGCGTAAGATCAAACTTTTTGAGAGATTTGATTTTTAGGGGTAACATTATCTTTAGCCATTGTTAGTGAAAGGGTCACGGGAAGTGTACTCACAGTAAGGGTAAGCTGTCGTTTGCTCCCCTGTTGCTGTTGACTGTTGCCAGGGACACCAGGGGAGGCTGCAGAGGGTGTTCTTGTAGAATCTGCAGCGGATGGTGTTGTTGACGTCGAGGAGGTAGCTGCTAATGCTGCAGCTGCAGCCTGTTTCTGTTGTTTTTCTCTCATCATCAACTGTCGCTGATGTTCCACATGCATCTAATAATAATGATGATAATATCATAGGTGACGAATTACTCCTTAATTTTGGCGCGAAATTTCAGCGATAATTTGTAATTTCACATGTGAAATTACAAAATTGCCATGGCAACCTTCCGTACGTCTCACTGTCAAGATAGCGACGAAGTTTTAAAATGTCATGAATGAAGACGCCAGGTCATAAAAAGACGCTTTAGAAAACCTGAACACACGAAAGAGCTTATCAAGAAGGATTCTAACAGGTATTTTGTCGACAAATTCTGAACTTAAGCCAAATTTAAGCTCTAAACGTTCGAGAGAGTGGAGTTCTCGACCGATACGATCCAGGATAAACATGTCAAAAATCCAAGATTGCTAACATAATTCGTCACCTATGATATTAATAGGTAATCAAATGGTATACTCGTGAAATTAGGGAATAATTTCACTTGCGTTTTGTCCAAATCCTAATAATTTCCCGAGCCTTATAAGGATTTGGACAAAACGCGCGTGAAATTATTCCCTAATTTCACTCGTCACCATTTGATTACACATACTAATAATATTAATACTAACGATGACGGTAGCAATGACGACGACGACGACGACGATGATGATGATGTGATGGTGGTGGTGGTGGTGGTGGTGGTGGTGATGGTGATGATGATGATGATGATGATGACGGCGATGACGATAATGATACCAAGAGAGAAAGTATAATGATGACAATGATGAGGATATGTATAATAATCAAGCACAAGTGTTTGGATGTATGGGATAACAAAGCTTTAGTAGAAAAGAGAGACCACCTCTGACATCAACATATATGTTTAAATTTGAAAAAATTGTTTCATCAAATACGACACGCACAATCCTTGGAGACCAAGGGGGGAAGCTACATTGTAGTTACAAAGTATACAAGATGAATTAATGGTGAACCGAAAAACCACTTACTCATAACCAAACCAGCTCCAGAGCTTAGCATTTGAACTATTTAATCTAATACATTTGCTGGTCTTTCACAAAAATTAATAGGAATTGATATGCTTCTGGAATTAGCTGCCACTGGGTCTTGAAGGATACAGAAGCACTACCCTCCCCCCATTTCCAACTTTCACTCAACACTTATAATTTATTTAATATCTACATGAAGCCATATTATCACATTATATTGGATTTTCTCCGAGCAAAAATGACTACGATTTTGCTCAATGCATGTTTGAGAGTGCTCCAAAAGTTACTGAATTTCAGCACATGGCTACTGTTACAGCAGAAAAACCTTGAAAAACTGGCTTGCCACTGGTTTTCTGCCGGTTTGCTCTTTGCTTTGGGGAATAAATTTATATCAAAACCTTTGAGATCCCTAGCAGTTTTCTCTGGGATTGTGTTGAAATATCCAATCCATACTCCCCCACTCATGATGCAGTTATAAGGTTGAACCTGCCCTCCCCTCCTCTGAAAACTCCAGTGTAGTTTCATATTTTCTTTCTTATTTTTTTTTGGTCTTTAACACCCCCTCCCCTCAGAATTTCCAAAGATCCCTGAAGGAGTGAATAGGACTTACTGCAGGAACCACATTGTTAATTTTTCCTTGATGGAAAATTATATGGTAATTTAGTAGCAAAAAATAAAATAAATAAAATAAAATAGAAGAGAAAGGAGACATGTCTTACCTCTAACTCTCTCTTGAGGTTAATAGTACTTTCACTGAGTGTGTCTGATGGTGGAGACAGTGATGTGCTTGATGCTGCCTGCTGTGGCACATAGGATGGTGTTGATGATGGTGGGGCCATGCTTGCTGATGGTACTTCAGGACTTGAAGGTGTCTTTTAGTTACAGAGACAAAAGAATCAACAATGTTAACAACCCAACAAGTCTTGTTTAGGAATAAAAAGTAGGCAACATGGAAGTTGATGTGGATTATTCTTCATGACAAACTTTTGAAGCAGGATTTGTCAAGGAAAAAACGTCTTTAATAATGTTAACCATTTAGCAGCTTTTAAACAAGCTTGTTCCTTCACAATCTAAAATGTCAGCCATCCAAACCCCCAAACCCATGGGGGTGCAGTGGAGTCTCCTTTCCCCCTCCCCCTCCCCCTCACTCCACAGGTTAGGGGGCTCCATGCTTTTTGTCAAAAATTAAAAAGAAAAGCTGATTTGACTTGTAGTTGGTCTCAACACTACTATACAGAGGATAAAGTAACTATTATATAACTAAAAATTAAAGTATTATACCTTTGATGGTTGAGTGACAGGTGTCAGCCCTGCCGCATAATTGGGTGTGCTTGGTTCTGGTGGCTTTGTGTTGTCTACTTTTTTATGCTTAGCCTCTTCTGCATGTTCAGAATCTGAAATGTTTAAAAACTAATTGTTATCACTTTGAAATAGATCTTACAAAGAAGTGAGAAAAAAACATATATGTGCTTGAGACTATATTTAATAACAAAATACAACGAAAAAAATGCACATTCATCAGGTAAAAATTTCACACAAAGTTCAAAATAATTGTCTTATTTAAGCTGGGGATGAAGGGTAAGAGTTTTATTCAAACTAAATTGCCCAGTTTCCTAAGAAAGTACACATTTAGTTTGGGATGGTAAGGTATGAAGTGGCAAAGAGAGGATAGTCAGTAGAACTGATGAGAACAAACAGCAACCAGCTGAAACATCTAACAACATCATTCTTGTTACTGTATTTAGTCATTTAACATTAATTTTTAGTGATACAATGAATAATAAAGTATCATGTTACTTCATTAGTTAATGACATTCCACCATTAAAGCCAGCACCATTGCCATACATGCATCATGAATTTGGATAATTAAGGAGAACCTTTTGCTTAAATATTTCAGCTGATACCCATCAACTCACGACTTATTTTTGACCAGATGGCTTCTTCTAACCTGCTAATTTCTTTCTTCTCTTAAGTTCTCGTCCACCTCCAATTGGCTGCTCAGTTATGTCTAAAAGCTGGGGAAAGTTCACATGAAAAAAAATAATCTTCAGTGAGGTAAGAAACAATAAATCTCAGCAATAAAAAGCAAAACAAAGCAGAAAAAAAAAGTTATGTCTAAAAGCTAGGGAAAGTTCATGCGACAACACGAAAAAAATTCAGCAAAAAGAAACAAAACAAACCAACAAAACAAAAACAAAAAATTTATGGAGTGAAGACTTTGGATTTTTATGCACTCATGTATTATAAAAAGCAGAATGAAATTTGTGTTTCATGCTTACAGGAGAATCAATCATCATCTGGTAGATTATCACACAGCTACTTTTGCTAACTCGTAAAAAAGATTATCATTAATTAAGTTGGATATAAAGTCTATTTGGATATAGTCGTTTCTCCTATGGCTTCTGACATTGCTACAATACTCTTCAAATGAAGAATTGGATTAAGATGCAGTCTAGTTTTTTTTTTTCTGAAGTGGAAATGACACAGGGGTTTCAAAACAAATGTGAAGTGGTCAGCTTGTTGAAGTAGTAACAAATGAGTACTTCATTATTTTATTCTGAGCAAATCAGCACTTTTTATCAGCCACTGCCTGGTTTCAAACTGAGGGGGGCTGGGTACTAGTCCGAGTATTTTGGGATTATTAACGTAAGACCAACAAAGTCAAAAAGAGCACATAGAGTTTTATACATGTATAACTAATAAACTTTGTTGTTAATTGGGCCAATATTGAACAACATATACATGTAGCTTTTAAAAGCTTGAAAATTTACTAACGGTTGTATTATTTTCTGGATATAAAAATGTTTCTCAGCAAATTTTTGAGCTCTTGAGTGGCTCTACATGTACCTCAGAAACACCAACTTGAGGATCTTGTAAATCTCTGTTTCCTCTTCTAACTATGTGGGTTTCATGTCATTTATCCCATAATACACTGAGTCATACCCGGGAGCACTTGGTTTAAAATTAAGCATTATATTGTTGTATAATCAAGGCACTAATGACAGATGATAGTACCTTAGTTCGTCCATGGTGTTTAAGTGTTGCAGCAGAGATAATACTCCTTGATGAACTGCTCGATGGAGTAGCTCTATTTGCCGGCACAGGACGATAACTTGCAGGGTTAGATGTTCTCGGAGTAACCCTTACTATGAAATTAGAAGGATCCATTAGACAAAGAAAAGTTAGATCTCAGGCAAGAAAAAATGACCCAAACAGGTGACAGAAAACTATAATAATTGGAACACAGTGTTTAAGTACTGTCTTGCAATGGAGAAAGTAGGATTCAAAGAATTACGTGACTGTGAAAGGCAGCACATAGTTGTTACTAAACTCTTAAGTTGTCAGATAAATACATGTACAAGATGTACAGTGTGGTCACTGGGGATCAAACAGCGAGAGATTTCTGTTGGTTCTATTTTCTGCTATTTTCCCATGAAAGTAGCAAAGGTTCAATTTCCTTGTAGCCAGGGAAAGTCCCCGGCCCAAGACACTGATGAAAGCCCCGAGCATATTGAAAAAAGGTACAAGGTGTTAAACCGAAAAAATAATCAAGTACCCTTTTTCCCATTTAAGTATGCAGACAACAACAAAGTAACTGAGCCCTTCTTAAGACAAAGTTTGCTTTGTTCGTTTTATTAACAAGTCTACTGGTAAGGTAACTGTAAAGGTTTGAGTCTTCTGCACAAGTGGTAAAGCAAAAGATCCAAGCATGCCTATTCATGCAAATGTGACCCTCCACAGGATTTTAGCCACTTTGGTGATGACACGTGCACAACACATCCACACGGTAGGACAAAAGAAGCAGGAGTTAACACAGAACGACCGTGTTAGGATTTTGCTTATTAAAAATCTCCTTTGTTTTAGACAAAACAGCACAGCTGATTCCACATTTAAATTCTTTAAAGCGTGGATTGCAATAATGACAATTATCTATACATTCTTCCTACAATGGCATTGCATGCTGAGGCACGGTGTATATGTTGTAGTTAATTTTTTAACTCAGGTAATTTTTATTTTTCCTTTGTTTCAACTTCGTTAGCATACATTATTATACCCAAAAACAACAGAAAAACAAAAATTACCTGAGATAAAAAATCAACTACAACATATATATAGCAGTTAAAGAAAAGTTTGGAGAATATTGTTTGGAATTTAAAAAAAAAAGCCAATCCACTAACCAGGAGCTTCAAACTTCTTTGATGGAGACTGAAGCTTGTTTCCAGAACCAACAAGTCCCTTTTTCTGAGCAGATACTGCTTCACTGGCTTCATGAAAAAACAAAACAAAAGACAAACATTACAGCAGTTCTAACAAAAAACTCATTTGTTCACTTTCAGGATAAATGTTATTTCATAAAAGGAACATTTTTGGTTGAGGATCATTTGTGGTCTGGGGATCATTTGCGATCAGGGGTCATTATTTTGTAGTATTGTACAGCCTCTTTAGCCATAGCTGTATAAAATAATACCAGTAATTCCAGAAAGTAGCCATGTTTTCAGTTATTTATCAACCAAAAAATACCTTTTTGTGTGAGCTCTGCTCTAAGGGCAGCAGATTTGGGTTTTCTTTTGAGTGTGAAGTGTTTAGAGAGTGGGGGCTGTGGACCAACCATGGCAACAAGTGCAGACCTATTTAAATAAAGGCATTCCAAGGGAAGAAAACTTGATCCACTATCTGGAAGGTTTGCCACTACAAAAAGAAAAGAAAATAAATGAATGAAAGAAAAACAAATAAATAAAAGACAATGTGTGATATTGAGTTATTTTAAGTGGTATTAATTCTCATTCACTGCCATTCTACTTATAAAAATGAATGGCAATGATTAAACTAGATGTTTATTTTGGTGGATTTATTTTTGCTCTTATGATTGACCGACATGTACATGTAGGATACTAGAAGAAATTCGCAAATTAATTCTATTAAAACCAAAGTGTCCTATTCAAAGTCTGCTTCAAATAATCAAATCCTATAACCATTGACAAAAGTGTGTTCACTGTGATCATCCACATTTCAGGTAGTTCAAATCCCATAAGCCAATGGGAAGCAAAAGACGGTTGTCATTTTTACTTTATAAGGGGACATTCTATTTTCTATCTGCTCCTTGCCCCATTAGGAAGACGACTGGAATCAAAATCCTCACCTTTGAAAAATTGTCAGAAGGGTCCAAATTTTGTTGGCCTTGAAGAAAAAATCTGAGCCCCCTTAAGGACAGCAGAGATGGGGGGGGGGGGGCGCGAAGTGCAGATAAAAAATGGAACATCCCCAAGGCAGTTATCAAACAACATTAAATCACGATAAAGATTTCATTTTACAGCCCCATCCAGTTGTACATAACATGCTGTGGTTCAATTTTATCCTCGATTCAAATTATATTTTCATTTCTTTTAGGTATGCTAATGAATGATAATGAGTTTCAAACAAAGAAGAGTAAAATAAAATTGAAACACAACACATTTTGGCTTACATTTACATGTAATATGCATGCAGCCATTTCATACTGTTTCACAAAAATAACGAATATGGATAGAGCCAAATATCTATATATGCATAAAAAACGTATGGGGCTGTACGAAAATCTTATTGAACTAATTCCCACTATTTTTCCCCTGTATGATCATAAAAACTTTGACTTTCACTTTGCTTAGCTTACTTGTCTTCTTTATTTCCTGAGTCACCTCTGCAAACACGGGACTAACTTCATCGAGGTTAACGTTCAGCATTCCCGTACTGGGGTAGTATTTAAGAATCTCTGATAAAACACGGACCCATTCATCTTCGTCGTGGCTTCCAATCTCGAAAATTTCGCTCATTTCGGCGGTAGTTTCTTCGATAACACGACGAGGGAGGTGAAGAAAGGCCATCAACAGTTTAACTTTCACCTGAGTTTCAAGCCTATGAAAGCATTCTGGAATATTACGAAGCACATCGTGAGTCAGAAGCGAACGTAAACTGCTGCCAGACCAAGAATCGTCCGATGATAACTTGTTATGAAGCCACAATGCAGTGTCTGCTTGTCGAACAGACGCCATATTGTTTTCCTGTGGGGCCGATTTTCTGGGGGATATACTGAGGTGTCTGGATTAGGCAGTGACTGTACGACGCTTCGCTCAGCAGGAAAAAAAAATAGCAATAAAAAAATAATGAAATGATTGTTCAGTTCGGATGAACAAAAAAGTGTATGAAAAGCAAAAAAATCTCCCTAAAAAAAATCCAAATTAACTAAAGGAGAAATTCCTAGCCCACCCCCAATGGGGGACGATACGTGTTCACTGTGATCTTGGGGGAGCCGGGTAAGTCACTTATCGCTTTTGGGGAGGCTGCTAAGTAGTTGGTCTCACAAGTTCCGCAAAGTGACTTGCAAGAATCCAGCTAAAACAACAGAAGTAGCGCGAAGAAAATTCAACACGATATGGTTTGAATTTAAACACTTTTCCCTCTCGATTACTTTACTGGTCAGATCACGCAAACCTGGCTGACCCCTCATGTCGCTGGGGAGGCTTAAAGATCGCTTGTTGGTAAGAACAGTGCATTGTTTGACCGGCCGGTACTGCAGAACTTCTTAGCTTGTCACTTTCGTATTTGCTACTTGCTGTGCTGCTGATCTTAGCGTTAGTAGATGTCTAAAAGAAATATCTTGTGTATTTGAGTGCAAGTAATACTAAAAAGGCATTTCTCCTCTTTGGATTAAGAGCATAAGGTGCGGCGTTTTGCTGAATTTTCGTGCAGAAATCGTAGTGTCGTTTACGTGTGGTAAAACGGGTAGCGAGAAGATAATCTATCAACGTTAAATTTTTACACCCGCCGTGTGTATGAATGAAAAAATCGTATGCTTACATCATACAGCCTGTGATGCGCTTGTCCAATATATAAACTTGGCAGAATTTCAAAGAGGAGTAGGGAAGTAGGAAGGCATATTTGGGTCATTTTGTTATCGAATTCAATTGTACAATCTTCAATGATTTTATATAGTGCCAAGTGCTCGTATGTGATGTTTACGTGTCTTTTCGATGGAACGAAACATTGCGTGTGAGTTGCATGTACAAACAGGCACTATGCAACGAGTTCGATAAAAAACCATAATGCCTTAGTCTCGGCTGTTTTGTGGTCTTAGCCCTTGACAAGAGATATCAAGCCCAACAAATTCTTGGAAGAAAGTTTAGTCATTTGAGTTTGCAAAACGTTCTCCCATGTGTATTGTTGTGGATGCATTTTATTGACACTGTTGTAGATAGTTTTTTTCTTGTTCTGTGCAACAAATTTATCCCCAGTTAATCTGTGTTGTTAAATGAGAGTAACAATAATACCGAATGGTTTGAGACCCTCAACCAAATTGACATTAATATTTGATGTTATCAGTCCTGTACACACATGTAGTTTTACTGTGTTTGAAACCAATTTGGAAACATCACAGTGGCCAAGTATTACAGAATTTTATGCTTATTAATTAAAAATAGATTTTAAAATGCTAGACAGTCAATCTGTCTCTGAGATTTTGAAGTTTCTTCGCATTTCACCTGAAGACATTGAAATTTTTCCTCTTGTTAATAATTAATGTGGTTTATAGGTATTTGCACTGGTTGCAGAGAAACACAAATTTTGGTCAAGCTGATAATGGATTCCACTATTTTACATTTGCAATACATGTAACATTTTTAGAAAATTCTTTATAGGTCATGAGAGAAATTTTCACGAAGACTTTTCAGTGGAGGAAAAAGGAAATCCTATGCTAATCAAATTTTCTATTATAGTAATTCTTTTCTTGCTCTGAATTAAATATTCCTTTTATCAGCACTGTGAGTTCTGATACATGTACTGTATGGCAAATCACTCCCGGTGGTTTTTTTTGGTGTGATCTCTTTTTTCTTTTGGGAGGTTTTCTTTTTGGTGCAACTAACTGACAGCACTACAGCAGTGTTCTCCTTATCAGGTGGTAACCAGTAAAATTTACTGCCTGAAGCAACACTTCTTACCGCCTACAACCACTTGAAGGTTTACTAAAATAAAATAATTTGTTTTAAAAAATGTGCAAGTTGTGATCCAATCCGATTCTCACAAGAACATGAATATAATATGGAAAAGTATTTAAGTATACACAGCTTTTCTTTTATGGGCCACGCATTTTGGAAAGAGAATGTTGAAGACAGAGTAAAATTATTGGAGTTGAACGTTTTAAATAAGAATGAGCTAGGAAATGACGTTTCAGAGGACTTAGCTCCTAAATTTCCATTCAATGTCCCTCACTCCACTACCCCCTCCACCCCCCAGGGGCACTTATTTTTTGCCTTACTGGCCATGAATGGTCCCTTACCTGCTGAGCCAAAATGTAGGGAGAACACTGCTAAAGTGGCAAATGTTAGTTTCAAAATTTGTGCAAATAGAGGATTATAACTCCAGTGTTATTCAGATCAACATTGAATTTCCTGCTCCATTGATTTTGCTTAACAAAGAGCTTACTAGGTTTCTTTGTCTCAGATTCTAACAAAAATGCAAGGACGCCAACGCATTTTTTGCATAATAATTGCATTGATATAGACTTGGGAGCTAATGAACCATTCACTATAATAAAAAATGATAATGTTGTTAATATTATATATTATTAATATTATTTTTTTTAATGCGGCATTTCTGTTTATTTCTAGGGTCTCTTGCCAGGAAGAAGACATTATGAAGATGAGTGGCGCACTGTTTATGTTTTAAACAGATACCCTAGTGATGAACATGCTGATATTGAACAGAAGCAAAGAAGATACGCTAATAATGTTATTGTTACTTCAAAGGTTAGGTGCTTTCGTAATTATTTTGATCATTCATTGATTCTTTGGGGTTAATAAATATATTCTTTTTTAGTGACAAGAATCAGAATTCTTTGTTTTATGTCAGTATTAGCAAACAAAATAATCTCATGGTTTTTTTTTCAAGCCAAGAAGAATAAATAGAATTATTATAAATAAATATTCCGAAAGGTCTTGATAGCACAAAGTTTAAAAAGACAATGACACTTCTAAGTTTGTGGAACATGCTTCAATGTTTCAAACATCTGACATCTTTAGCCATACAAGGTATAATACTAATAGTGTACAAGTAAAGTAAGTAAGTTTAGTTTTCTTCCATATTAGTGGCTAGCTTTAATATGTGTATCAAATTTTGAATTTCTAAGCAGTCATTGTTTGGATAGTTATATTATACCAATCAACTTGTACGCTATTAGTATTATACCTTGCATGGCTGAATATGATGTTTGAAACATCAAAACATGTTTCACAAACTTAAAAGTGTCATTGTTATTTTTGAAATTATAATTAAATATAAATTAATCTTTATTAAAACAATCATCATTGAGTGACTGGGTGCACTATAAATGAATTGCACAATAAAAAATATAATGTACCTCATGTGAGGTTTCATTTACAGTGCAACCAGGAAAACCGTGAACACTTGAAATATCATAGGAATGTTTATTGCGTACGACCAATCACAGCAGAGATCAGGACATGTGAACTAGCCACGAAGCCACAAACTAATTAAGGTTTTTGTTGCAGTTCAGTTTTTTCATGCGTGATTGGCTGTTTTCTTGCAACACAATAGCATTCCAGAAATATTTTTGGTGTTGACAGTTTTCTCAGTTTGACGGTAATATTTCAACGTAATAAATAAATACGTCATGAAAATCTGAATATTGAATTCTGGTGTTCATGGTTTTCCCAGTTTAACAGTAATATTTCAACATAATAAATGAATATGTCATGAAAATCTGAATATTGAATTCTTTGTATTTTTTGCAAGTACATTAGGGCCCATCTGCACTAGCGAAAAAAGTTGTTAGAGAAATTTTCTGTCATCACCAATGCTTAGCAAATGCGGATGGTTTGTCGAGATTATACAAATTTTGTCCTAGACAGGAAATCTTAAAAGGTGCCATGGACAAAATTTGCTCCCAGTAAAAACTGGCAAAATTGACTAAATAAACAAAAATGTGTTTTTCTTGTCAATCATTTGTTGTAAAGCTGTTATTCTTTCCATTAAAAAAAGCAAGTGTTGTCAGATGTAATGGTTTCCAGTGCGGACAAATTTTTTCAAAACAAAAATTGTCACAATATAATTTTTGGTGTAGATGTTTCAAAGACAATTCCCATTTTGTCTGCTAGTGTAGGAAGGCCCTTATGGTGTTTTGATTAATGCAATAATTATTGGATTGTATGTTTTTGTTTGCAGTACACAATATGGAATTTTATACCAAAGAATCTGTTTGAGCAGTTTCGTCGAATTGCCAATTTTTATTTCCTTTGCATTGGTATCATACAGGTGGGAAACACAATCCATAATAAAAGCATTCTGACTAAGCATCTGTCTATGTAACAGGTCAAATTTGATGTCAGGTTAAATTTTTTAATGTAGGTTGATTCTCAATTCCCTTCGTTTCCTAGCCCTAATTCATGATTAATCAGGGCTAGGAGACAAAGTAAATTGAGAATCAACCTACAGTACCTGTCAAAAGTATGTTGACAGTCCGTCGCGAGTCTCCATTCTCAACTCGATTCGCAGTTCTTGATTCCTGCGCAAATCGAGAATCGAGAATTGAGAACAAGCTATTGAGAATCAAGTCAAGGATTGAGTCTCGCGAGACAGAAGACAAAAGATTTAAAGTGATTAAAAAAATTTCGTGTGAAATCAAATTTGACCTGTAAAATCTACAGTTAGATTGCAACTATCTACCCACCTACATGTACCTACCTACCAACCTACCTCCATGTGCCTACCTACCTATCCACCTACAACTGTACTGTACATGTACCTATCTACCTACCTTCCTACCTCACTACGGGTACCTACTTCCCTACATGTACCTACCCTACCTGCCTTCCTACCTCCCTACCTGTACCTACCCTACCTGCCTTCCTACCTCCCTACATGTACCTACCTGCCTACCTCCGTACATGTACCTATCCTACCTGCCTTCCTACCTCCCTACATGTACCTACCTTCCTACCTTCCTACATGTATCTACCTCCTACATGTACCTACCTACCTACCTTCCTACCTTCCTACATGTATCTACCTCCTACATGTACCAACCTACCTATCTTCCTACATGTACCTTCCTACATGTACCTACTTCCCTACATGTACCTACCTACCTGCCTTCCTACCTCCCTACATGTACCTACCTGACCTACCTTTCTACCTTCCTACATGTACCTACCTACCTACCTTCCTACCTCCCTACATGTACCTACCTACCTACCTACCTACCTCCCTACATGTACCTACCTGACCTACCTTTCTACCTTCCTACATGTACCTACCTACCCACCTTCCTACCTCCCTACATGTACCTACCTACCTACCTACCTTCCTACATGTACCTACCTACCTACCTACCTTCCTACATGTACCTACCTACTTACCTATCTACCCGTCTACATTCTTACATGTACCTTCCTACCTCCCTAACTCCCTACATATACCTACCTACCTACCTAACCTACCTAGATCTAACTAAATGTATCTACCTACCTACCCACCGACCTACCTATGTACATGTACCTACCCATCTTGCCTCTTCGCGCTCTGTTACACACAAGACCTCCACATACACTTGTCAGTGCCAACATGTCATCTTGAAAAGTGTGACAGGCTTCAGTGATGATATTTTTTTATGGGGATAAACCAATCACCCAACCCCTAAACTTGAGGGCCAGGCATTGCAATTAGTCTTGCTTATCACCCAAACCTGACCAGCATGGTGGCACCCAACAGGGACCAGCTGGAATACATAATATAGCTTCCAGGCTAATCAAGGCACATAAACCTCCCCACCACGTTAAGGCGCAACTAAAAAGGGAAGAATTTTAGACAGTCTAGATTGTGGCAGCTGAGGGAATAGATACATTGTTGTTTGTAATTTTATTTAACTTACATGCTATGCTTGCTGTTTTTATTGCAGTTGTTAATTGACAGTCCAGTCAGTCCAGTTACTAGCATTCTTCCATTAGCCTTTGTGATAACAGTCACTGCCATCAAACAGGTTTGCATAACTGTACATGTGCGTGCTGGTTAGACGAATGTTCTTCTGATTGTTCATTGTCACCTTTAAATAATTTACCGTCTAATAAATGAGCTAGGTCATTTTTTATCAAGTTTAAATGAAAATGTTAGATGAGTAGGTTTGGTGTCAGTCCTAAAAACATGAACTGAGACATAACAATTTATTAGTGAAAAGTAAACATTTTAGGTCCAAAAACTCTCACAATTTTGTCTCCTGCACATGCAGGTCCAAACTTTAGAAGTTGAAATAATAGCAGCAGAAGCAAAAGCCAGCATGAACTTGAAAAGCTTTTCAAAATCGTGACTAACTGTTCCCTTTTATGCGTCTAGGGTTATGAGGACTGGCTGCGCCATAAGGCAGATAAAGAAGTCAATAACAGGCCAACTAAGGTGATAAGTCAAGGGAGGGTCCAGGATGTTCCATCTAAGAACGTGAGGGTAAGAGAATATGAAATATGAATGATAAGCGATTTAGCTGAAACAAATATCGCTTAGCAAGTAATTATTATTTTTGTACCTTCCAGTCTGTATTTCTGCTTAAGGACCTACAGTATATGGCTTTAAAGGCAGTCACACAACTATGTGTACCCACACAAGAATCGATAACTAGTGTATTGATCAATAATAAATGTAAGGTATTGTAGCTCTTGAAAAAGCCTCATTACATGTTTGTTTTTAGGTTGGTGATATTGTTCAAGTGTCAGAAGATGAAGAGATTCCTTGTGATCTTGTCGTATTGTCATGTGAAGACCCTGAAGGAACATGCTACATTACAACTGCAAACTTGGATGGGGAGACAAACTTAAAGGTATGTCTGCCATTTTACAAATTCTGTCAAAATTTGTCTCTTAACACTGATGTTTCATTCAGGTCATAATTATTAGGGTGATAACTCATTATACCAGTAGACACTAATTCTGTAGCAAAACAAAACGAATTCTAGCTAGAGATTGTATCTGGTTTGCAAATTGTTCGTAGTTCCAAAAAATAGTCCTGTATGTCTCCCCCTTCCCACATAAAGGATTGGCAATAAAGTGGGCAAGTGAAAGTTTGTTTTGCCCTGGTTATTATTAAGTTTATTGCTGTACATATACTTCTGATGTTGACCTGCTCACTTGTACATGTACGTGTAGTTCTTTTTTCTTTGTCATTTCTCTTGCCATCTGATATAAAGCCTTTGGAGCCATTTTTTTAAATAATAAATCGCCAGAATAAGAACCTCAGTGTGGTAGTTTCTAGATTCTGGAAAAGTATGGGAGAAAAACAATAGATGGCTTTTTGTTTTTAAATGCATTTATAATGTTTGTAAATCTTTGTTTTAGGTTCGCAGTGCTTTAACAGAGACTGCATCCATGCAAACAGCAGAACGGCTATCAAACTTTGTTGCTCATGTAGAATGTCAACACCCTCAGGAAGATCTTTACAGGTATTTTAAAAATGTTGTTGAGAGTGATGTTCTATACGTTGCATGTAAAGCTCTAGTGAACGGCAATTCGGAAATTTAGGAGGACACAAAAGTTATTATAAGGTGCACTTAAAATTTTTTTTTTCTTTTGCCATACATGTATAGTTTTACCGGTCGGATGATTATAACACCTAGAGGAAGCGGAGAACCAGTTGTAAAGTAAGTTCAGTTAGCATTATTTCTTAAAATTATGTGAGTACATCCTCAAAGAAAGGGGATTCTCAAAATATCATAAAATGATTATAGTTTTTAGAAATGAAATATCTTGCTTGTGCTTACCCTTAAGTACGTTTATAGCTTGAAACAGTTGGCGTCATTTTAATGGAAATTTTCCCTGGTACATTGTCCATTAACATGTTCCAATTTTAGAGCTTTAGGTCCACAAAACCTGCTTTTAAGAGGAGCAAGGTTGAAGAATTCCACATACACCTTTGGTAAGTGACTAATATGATCTGTTATAATTCATTTTACTATTATTTCCCTTAATTGTTATTTTATTCAACATAGACCTTACTCCTAATACAGATGGAATGAGATTGTATGGGTCAACCATTATGGATTGATTGAAGTGATTGTACCGAATTTGTGGGGTACAAATAATTCACTCGTTTAAAATCACCTTTTAAACAAGCCTTTTACCATGAATGATTCCTGATACAAGTCTTTTCTCCAATCGATCACAAAAAGTAATTGTCCAACACTCTATTTGTTTGTTTCTCCAATTTCAAAATGTCAATCAGTTAAAAGGTAAAACTAACACAAGGTTAATGGAGTCATATCCGGTTAAAATGAAATTAGTCACGACACTTTCGGACACGCTCCTCAAAATTAAAGCGATTTAATTTAAGTGAAAACGACTCTTCGTAACACATTCATTTGCAATGCCCTCTGAAAGGAATGAACAAGACATTCAGTCAGCACATCAATGTGACAGTTTAGCAGTTGAGGCAGCATCACAGAAATGGCCAGTAGTCAGCATCAATCCTCAATCTTCGTCTTGTGATAACAGCTGCAACCTCAGTCGGGCGTCCTGTTCTGCGCGTCGAGTACTACGTCTTAACTCCGGTCCCTGAGCCATAGGGGCGATACAACCACTGCAGGTCCGTCATTCTCCAGTGAGCATACAAACCAAGGTTTGGTGTCTCTCAATGGTGTGACCCTTGTGTCGAAGAACGACTCCCCTTACCACGTCGTGCTGACCTCTAATGTGTCTTAGAACGAGAATCTTCTTCCACCCTCCCCTGTTCTTTTCTTCTCCAACAATCAACAGGACCTCACCAACTTCTGGGTAGTTTCGCGCGCCCCTCTTGATGTGATGGCTCTCTATGAGACCATGAACGTATTCTCTCTTCCACCGTTGCCACACATGTTGTTTATTCTCACTTAACCGCGCCATCAACTTGGTCGTTTCAGCTCCTTCTAACTCTCGATCTTCTACGGTGTGCACCTCCTGGCCCTAAAGTAACAGATTAGACGTTAAAACTTGCTCCTCTCCTAGTTCGCTTTCAACTTACGTCAGTGGGCGGTTGTTTAGGTCTACTTCGATTTCCATTACCACAGATTCACTTCTTCGTATTTGAAGCTTGTTCTTCCCATGGTCTTATAGAACGTTTTCTTTGCATCTTTGATGAGTACCTTGTATAAGCCTCCCAACCGTGGCGATTTAGACAGGTTGAACTGCCGAGTAAACTGCTGCCTCGCAAAGTAATCTTGCAACATCACGCTCTTTCGGTTTTTCTTGATCCATGCCGCAGTGGTTCTGAAAACTGGTCCGTTATCTGACACGATGCATTTTGGCCTGGTGCATCGGGTAATAAAAGCATTCAGCTTCTCCTTTAACTCCTCTGCTCTTTGTGACTTGGTTACTTTTAAACGGATTGCTCTTGACATACCGCACGTGAAAATTAACATAGCATTTGCCTTGCTCCTTCTTTGAGATCTTATAGATAATAGGTTCAGCGTAGTCGATCCCTGTGGTCTCGTACGATCGTCCGTCTTCGGTTCGGAGCGACGGCAATGGAGGAGCTGTTGTTGCCGGTCCATACGGTTTTGCACTGAACACCTTGCACACCTTAACTTCCAATCATTTATCACCTTCTTCACCTTTGCTCGCAGATGTGGTATCCAGTGGCCTTCTCTTACAGTTGCCAAGGTGTTCGCGACGCCAAGGTGTTTTATGTTTTCATGGACATGGCGTATAAGCTTGTTGGCGAACTCTCCCCCTTCAATGTGTATCGGTTGGTAACCAGAAATTCTACTATTACACTTGAGGACATGATTACTTTTTTCTGTCCCCAATTTCCTGCCATTCTTCTTTGTTTATCAACCATTCCGGCCCTTCAAATCAATTTCCCGTCTGCACCTTATCGATTGACGCGCCGCAGCCTCCTAAGTCTACCAGGTTCTTATCTGTTGGACAATGTCTCCAAACAATTCCTGTTTCCTGTGTGATCTCAGCAATCTTCCTCACTCAGTTGGAAACGAAAGCTTTCCACGCTTTTTGGAGATTACAGATCCAGTTCAGGGCCACCATAGTGTCTATCCTCACGTTCACGGAAGTAATGGGCCACCGCTTTAACGCTGTTCTTCACCATATTCGCGCCTATCTGCCCGCTTACCAGTTCCACTTTAGCCAATCTCGCCTCATGGCACTGCTCACTTCTGAATTCCAGTCAGTCTTTTCATGACACGCCTCTCTGTAAATATGTTTCCCCTCCACTATAGTCGGCGAAATTACCCAGTGGGTCACAAATAGTGCTCAGCTTACTCAAAATAGATCGTTTTCGTTGCTGAACTGTTTTCGTTCATCTTTACTTGAATCTCGAGTGTATCTTGTTTTTTGTCCCACATGAGACCAATTATCTTGCTTGGATTAGGTTCTTCGTCCAACTCTTGGACGTCGGACTTCTCCTTGTACACTGGGAACTTCGCAGTCTCGAGGGTTTCAGTGGCTTCTTCTTTAAACCTGCTTAGTTCTCTGACGTCACTCCCGGTCTTCAGGTTACCCACGTAAGTATTCTCCCCGAGCGACTCGATCGTTTTCTCATACGCTAGTGATTGCTGGTTGAAGTGATGTTGCAGTGTGGCGCCTAGCATAAACAGCCTGGCTTCGGCCCCAAGTGGTATTCTAGCAAAGCGCAAGTGTTCCTTTCTGTCATTTATGTTGAGTAAGAATCGAAATGCGTCACTATCTTCCTCCTTAATCCCCATCTGTAAAAATGCCGTTTTGAGTTCCGCCAACAAAAGGTGGGTTGACATTCATCCTCGAATCATGATGTCCCATAACAGAGGTTGCAAGGGCGGGCCAGTGTACATACACTCATTGACACTGTTGGCAAGAGGATGGGGCTTAGCACTGGCACAGAAAACCATCCTTTCTTTTGTCGTTGTGGCCTCTTCTCTCACCACTGGTTTATGAGGCATGATGAAGACGTGGGGACCTGTGGGCTGCTCTGGTTCTTTCTCGACTACGCCCTGTTCTAGTTGCTCGTGTATTATCTCCTCGTACTCGATTTTCAGGTCTTCAGTTCTTCTAAGTTTTCGCTGGGCGTTCTCGAGGCGTTTTCTACTTGCCATCTCGTTTGCATTGGACAGCTCGGCACCCAGAACCCACGGGACACCTACTTCGTGTCGCCCGTCACTTCTCGTTACAATGTTCTCTCGAAATTCAGAGCACGCATCCAGCTGACCGTCCTCCCCTCGGTCCTCTACTCCTAAAACGTCAAGGGAGTACAGTTTCTCGTAGTCGCTTGTCTCCCTGGTAAACATGCATGTTGTGCCTGCGTAGTCCTTTCCGACAAGAACAACCCAACCAAATGTGGTTCCCTCGACCATTGGGTCCTCTAGTCTACCTTTGTACACCTGCTCTGTTCGGATCTTGCAGTAGGTGGCGTCTCCGAGTATGAGGTGAATTAGCTACTCTTTACTTGGGGTCCTGTAAAACATTTTTTCACGCAAGTGCTCATACTTCGCCTTTAGCTCCATCAGAGTCGCTCTCTTTATACTAGTGAAATCTGCAAGATTGCTCCCGGTATTCTCTATTTTGTCACTCACTTTATCTTCTCGCTAAAAACCGGCAAAGACTGTTTCTTCGTTCCGTTCACAGTGACGATTTGGCGTGACTCGTGACGTGCTGATTTCAATCCTAGTCTGTTAATAGCTTTGAGATAAAGTTCCTCCCCGATCCTGTGTCTAGATGCGCCCAGAATGTGATCCGTTTGAGTTTCAATGGGACTATTGCCGGCAGTGACTTCTCTTCGAAGGAAGGGATGTAGCCATTTAACACTGCGTTAGACTTTTGCCAAGTTTCTGTCTCGTTTCCTCTAGGTCTGTTACAGACACCGGTGTGTTGCTTGCTCTGGCATTTGTTAAAACTGCCGGTTGCGACAGAATTTTGCCCAGGATCCTGTACGGCCACAGTTAAAACACAATTCCTTTTCCTGGAAAAAATGCCTCCTTGCTTCCATTGTTTTAACGACTTCGCACGCGTCTGCCCAGTGCTTAACTTTACAAAGGATACAGACAGGGTCCTTTCTCTCTTTTAAACCAAGGCTTCTCCCTTTTCGGTCGTACACCTCCACTGTTTCCAGGTACATCATCTACTTTGTGTCTTTTCAACCACTGCTGAAAGTTGTTTATCGAGGCCTCCATATCCCAGTTCTCCCAATTTTCGTCGGTTCGCGCAATATCGGGCCTCTCTTGCGGTAGTTTGTTGAGAGTGGACATCACGAACCCCCGAAGCATGTCGGCTTCGCCCATTGACAGCAACGCATCGTAATTTCTGTTCACACTCTCGTAAAATTCCTGACTCTTCAAGTAATTGGATCCTGTGACGACTGGAAGGTTCACTCTTTTTTCTACGTGCACGCGTTCGCAACAAGTTTGCTCTGGCCATACTCGGATTTCAGTCATTCACAAGCTATCTTTTAGCCAATTTCACCAGGCTTTAAGTTTGCTATCTTTGCTCGTACGTTTGCATTGACCATTTCCAAAAGATAGCCGAATTTCTCTTCTGCGCTGATCGATTAGTTTTGGACTTGTGTAACAAACATGTTTCCAAATCTCACCCAGTCGGTGGGCGTTCCTTTGAACGGTGTTATTATCAATTTGGGCAGTTTTGCTGTAGTTGAATGGGCTTCTTTCTCCAGTTCCAACTATGTGCGTCGCCTCTTATTCTACATCAATTTGCTCCTGCCACATACATCGCTCGTACCCTTCTTGTCGCAAACGCAGCTCAGTTAAACGGCGCTCCGCTCCTCCGCTCGCACAAGTCACACTGGCGTGCGTTCACCCCGATAGTTGCTTTGGAGCGAGAATTTCACTCACGTACAAAGTTTTGCAACGGTATCATGTAAATGCGAAACTACCACTCGTTTCGGTGTGAAATCGATTTTACGGTAGACCGGAACGGGTAGCGCATTCGTATTTGAATCACAGGTGTATTTTATCAACATGATTTGTACCTTCATAAGTTAATGTGATGTGAAATGACCCAGTCATCATGTAAACGCGATATGAACTCAAGAAGTCATCCCGATATGAAACTTGTACCACTGCAAGTTTTCTTAGTTTCTTAGTTTTTTCCCGAGTTCTCTAGTTTACATGACTGTAAAGTTGTTAAACTTTTATTATTATTCATTCAAAATATTTCTCTGTTTCTGATTGGCTAAAACCACACCCGTGATTCACCATAACCAGCTACTGTTGACCAAATTTGGAAGAATTTTGCGATTAATCAACCGATGACGATGACGTCAAAAGTGCAGCGCAGTTGCAAGTTAATGCACCGTTAACCGAGAAGACCGAAGGTTGAGATGTTTTGGTTGTGAAAAGAAAAATGCCCGAACAGTGGGCGGAACATTTTACTCTTTTCACGACGAACTACTGTCTAAAAACATAGCAAGAAGACAACTCGACGAACAACATCTGCTATTTGGAGTATACTTGCAGACCTGAACAGCCCTTTATCTTTTAAAATGCACTATCGAGGTGAACTTAACATCGACAAAGGTAAGCATATTTCAGCTTGTTTTTAAACTAGGAATTATTTTGAATGAATAGTAAAGCAATTAATGAATTCGGCTTTTGTAGGATATTTAACCATTATTCCCCGAATGGGCTCTAAGTGAATAGCTCGGCCTCATGGGATATTGACTCAGAGGCCATGAGGGAAGAGGAATTGTTTTAGTAAAATCCAACTAGTTGGTCAAAAATATCGAGACAAAACAACTTTAGCTAGCAAAACGCGATTCAGCCGCCATTGTTTTGGTTTTCAAAGCCAGCTCTTTTCGCTACTAGTAGGCTATAACATGTAGCCTAGTAGTAGCTCAACTAATCAGAATGCAGCATTGATAACAGACCACCAGTTGGATTTTACTAAAAAGAATTATGCGGATCTCGGAGGGTGTTATCCACCAAGGCCGACTTAATAACATCATTTTCTGTGTTTGTATGCTTTTAAGGTGTTGCTGTGTACACTGGTAAAGAAACCAAGGTAAGAAATAGTACATGTATTTTGTCTAAATATATAAAATAATGATTAACTATTTTATCTTGTAATATGTTGCCAGATTCCTATTTGAAATATTTTCTGTATGTGTGTGATGTTGGAAACATCACAGAAACACTTAAAAAGTCATGTTTATTTAAAGAGCAAATTGTTCTTATTGATTCTGATGCCTCAGTTGTAGTGCGTTTTGTGGATGTTAACAATGTTTGGACAAGATATAATTATTTTTTGTCACATTGATGTCAATAGCCTGCGAACGGCAGACGCTTCTCCTCGTTCACCGCTGCTGAGGGACGTTTGGCGAGGAGGAACGTCTGCGACTCATGATGTCAAATGCAGAAGTCTAATTTTGCAGAATTCAGATCATCCCGCATACCTTTTTAAAGGTTCCTCAAAAGCCTTTGAAACCAATTTGTTGTCAAATTTTTTGTGTCCATGAAATATTAAGGTGATGTTGATGTTCATCAATTTCTTCTTTTTCTTTCAGATGGCTTTGAATCAAAAACAAGCAGCTCACAAATTTTCTACAGTAGAAAAGTAGGAATTTTATACATTATTTTACTGTGAAACTCACAAAACCGTGAACACCAGAAATACTTATGGAATGTTATTGTGTTGGGAGAAATACGCCAATAAGACGCGAGAAAACTAAACCGCAAACAGCAACGGTAATTAGTTTGTGGTTTTTGAGGTTTGCTCGCGTGTCCTGCACTTTAGTGTGATTGGCCATTACACAATCAGCATTCCTGAAGTTTTTCAGTTGTTCACGGTTTTCTGAGTTTGACAGTAAATGTCTTGTTGTTGTATGTCCCTCTGTAATAAGGTCACCTTATTGCTATTTACCAATCACATGGAATAATTATACCAAAGGCCATACAGTTTCTACACGTAGCTCTATGTTACCAACAGTTCAGTAAAGTAGACAGTTGGCTTTGATATCCATACACCTTATTCCAGAATTGTAGGAAATTTTGTTATTCTTTTTTCGGAGCAATTAAGGTTTCTGGGAAACTGCCCACCTACTCCTCCCCTAAGCCAACATTATCACTTAGTTCTCACTTTGGGCCAAATGTTGGCTTAGGGGAGGGGTAGGTGGGCAGTTTCCCAGAAACCTAAATTGATCCCTTTTATCTTCATGATAATTGGCCTTTGATGCCTTGTCTAAAGGTTTGAATTGAATTGTATACATTGTACAAAGACTGCAAAATATAATAACAATACTACTACTACTAACAATGATGATGATGATGACGATGTGTATAATAATAATGGTAATAGTAATACATAATGTAATTAGAGCGCTTGGTTTCCTACCCTGCGAGCAGACGTTTCTTTCTTGCATGGCTTTTAGCATTTACGAAGTCATTTATGTGGCTTGTCTGTGGTGTACATGATTCTCTTTATGCCCCCCGAGAAACGGGAAACGGGGAGTGTTAACAAAATTAATGGCGCAACAGACCAGCCACGCGAACAACTTCGTAAACGCTAAAAGCAGTGCAAGAGAGAAACTTCTGCTCGCAGGGTATGGGTTTCCTTCAATTTTCCTCAGAGCACAGCCTTGAAAACATTAGGGCGCTAGATTAAATTACTACGCTTTTGAGTTTTTTTTTGCTCTTATATACTGTGTAGTAATGCTCTTTACAACTGTTACACTGTTTGTGTTTTGCAGGACAATGAACACATTTTTGATTGTGTACTTGATAGTGCTAGTTTCCCAAGGAGCTTTGTGCGCCGGCCTGATGTTTTGGAAACAAGGCACAAAGTCAGGGATGCCCTCCTATGTTTACCTGGAAAAACCTAAAGTCACAGTAAGTGAATTATCATCCCTTGTTTCTTTGTTCATGATTGTGGGACATGTTTCGCTCTTCTCAAAAAAGATAGGTATAATTATATAGCGGATAGAAGGGGCTGAAAGCGAAATTCATCAAAATTCACAATTCTTTCATCGTTTCGTTCCGTGAAATACTGAAAATAAATAGTACCACGTGAAAGTACTGCGTAAGAGGTTTTTTGTACCATTAGATATAAGTCAAGTCTTTTTTTGTTACCGAAATAACAAACTCTTTCAACTGTATGAACCTGAGTTAGTGAGAATTTTTTTGCGACAATATGAAGCAGTGAAATATATATGTTTCTTTTTTTTGTGCATCAGTTTTTAATGAAAGCAGATAATTTGCGTGAAAATAATTTCCCCCTACTAGTAGAATCTTCAAGTACATGAAACCTGAATTCACCGGTGTGTCAATAAGTAATAATTATTAAATTTTAGTAAAATTGACAGAATATCTGAAAAGGTCGTACTATTCACCATTTGAATTTTTTTATACAAAAAGTGTACTTGTTATATATTTTAATTTTCTCTTTTCAGTTCACCGGATCTAATGGCGTGCTGGACACCTTCCTTGTATTTCTCGTTCTTTTCAATTACGTTATTCCAATTTCACTTTATGTCACTGTAGGTAGGTACCCAGAAAGATATGGTACGGTTAGCCTGTGCAAAAAACGCTTGCTTCTTAATATCGCCCCCCGTCATCGAGACGTGTTTCGTCACCAGCAGTAGGGATTGATGCGAGGCGCTTGTAATCTTATGAAATTCAACAACAGAAAGAAATTTTGTTATCAAAATGCAAGTGGAAAAGATTTGGGAAAAAAACCAGACATTTCTAGCGTGCTCCTTTGTCTTCTGTAGTTTGATATATTACTGAAAAAATGCACGTGCAACTTAACGTATGTTTCAAGCACCTTCGAAACATCCAGTTTTTTTCCAAGCCCGCTTTTCATAGTCTGTTCCGTGCTCCAAGACGGTACGTAAAACGCATCGAGAAAAGTGGCGCGAAAAAACTGCATGGGAGCTGGGGAGAGACGGGTATTGAAAATGGAGCCGCTAAGAATTGATTGTTTGCCATTTACATGGGCAAACCTGTCGGTTCACGGGTTGGGCAAATGGTAAACAAAATTCAGGACTGGTAAATTGTTACCGGAATCGCGTTTACCATTTGTACAAATCAGTTCCCTTTACCGAAAAACAGCCGCGAAGGCCTGAAACTGGTATCAAAGATGGCTTTGAAGAAATGGAACACGAATTTCCGTCTGGAACATTCCGTCCAGAAAAAACGGGACTACCTTTTCAGGTGTTCCGTTGCTCCCGGATAGTTTCCACTGGAACAACCCAAAAGCCGTGTTCCATTTACTTTCCATCCGGATTTTCCGGAACCTTTTTGTAAATGGTAAACAACCATTGTTTTCAATACCTCATTCCGGTATACAAGCTCCTGGTATATCCTATGATTGGCCATGAATTGCCATTTATAGTTTGTTTCTAGATGCCCTCGTTTTTGGCATGCATGCCTGTTGTTAAGAGTTGTTTGCTTTTCTTAGAGCTTCAAAAATTCATTGGTGCTTTATTTTTCGCATGGGACTTGAAGATGTATCATGAGGTGAGAATCATACCTAACATTAATCCAAACGTAAAATAGTAGTAATAATAATGATGATGATGATAATGATAACAGACAATTATTGGATGAGGTTTTTGTGATATCCGAAATAATCGAAGTCGAGCTAAATGTTATCACCCAAGGACGAGACTGATAACACTTACCACGACCTTCATTATTTAGGATATCACAAGAAACGAATCTAGTAGTTGTTTTGTTATTCATTGTTTTGAAGAAACTGACGACAAACACACCATCACACGGAACACAGTTTGCGCTGCAGTCGGAAATCAAGCATTGCGCGTACAACCTACAGATTTTTCTTAGTCTGTTACCTGCTGGTAGATAACTAAGTAATCTATAGGTTGCGGTGATTTCCGAAACTTACTGTAGACTCTCAGGCAATGAGAAACAGATAACGAGTATAGTACAATGTATAAAAATAACAAAAAAATGGAGCTCTAATTAGTGTGATGAAATTATTCAATTGAATATGTGTGTACTACCCTATCCAGTGGCTCTTCGATTAGCTCTTTTCATGTTGATACGTATTAACTACAAAATGAGAAATTTGGTTTTACTGTGATTAGGAAACAGATGAGCGTGCCATTGCCAACACCTCAGACTTGAATGAAGAACTTGGACAGGTACATGTAACTGAATCATTGATCTGTGCACCTCTTAAAATAATATACCTTTGCACGATTTTTGTAAACTTTTGACATGGGCAAGCTGGAGAAAATCCGTCATTTCCGCTGGAATGAGTAAAATTGCCAAGCTTGAAAGTGATTTGTGAAAAAAATTGCCCCACCCCTTCCCACCATACAAACGTCTGTAAATTTTCGCAACTTTGCTGAGCTATATCTTCGCTCGCATCACTTTCAAACGTGGCTGTTTCATTTATTTTAAGGTGCTCTTTTCAGTGGTGTCGACTGATTTTCCCCAACATGTCCATGTAAGAAGTTGGAAAAAACTGCGGAAGGGTCTATTTAGCAATACACATAATTTATTGTTACAAATGTATTTACACTTAAAATTATAATTTGTAAAAAAGTCATACACATAATTTATTGTTACAAAATAATGTATTTACACTTAAGATTTTAACTTATAAAAAAGTCATATCATACATTTAAAGGTGGGAACTTGCGTTCGTGCCTTTTGTAATGTTAATTGGTTTTCTGGGTCGCAAATAATTTTTCGTTGAATTAATGATTATGTCCAACTAGATAGCTGTTTTAGTCGAACAAAACGGAAAAGCTGTCGGGCAGACATTATTTCTTTAATTATTATGCAGATCTTTATGCTTCAAAATGAAAATCTTTGGAATTTGATCTGTCCGCTCATCATGTCCACAAAGGCCCAATTTCATAAGACACTATAAACAAATGTAAATCGCTTATTATCTGATGACTAGCCAACCTCCTCTCCAGGGTCTTCTCCTTTTCCAATATGGCGGCGGCAGGAGATAAGTCTTCTCTCCTGCCGCCGCCATATTGGAAAGCGAGAAGATCCTGGAGACGAGGTTGTTGAGTAGCCTGTTCAAGAATAGTAGCGCGAAATGGAGAGCGGAGGGGGAAATTGTGCTAAACGCTTGATTTGCTATCAATAGGTCGAGTATGTATTTACTGACAAGACAGGAACACTAACAGAAAATGACATGCAGTTCAGAGAATGCTCCGTTAATGGAGTGAAGTATGTGGTAAGTTGATGCACTACAGACAGAGGTCCTGTACACACTGTTCTCGTTTTGACTACAACGCATCAAAGGCACCGTGTCCACACGAGTGTTTTTGAATCGTTTTCGGTCAGTTGTCCTTACCAAGCCATCGAAATTGCACACCACATAATGAGTTTTCTTTCCAAGTCATTCGTTAAATTGTCATATTCAATACTCCGCTTGCTTGTAAGAAGCCGGGTCTTGAATGAGTAGTGGTACGTTATCAACATTTTCAAAAACTGTTTTTGCATGTCTACATGAAAACAGTAGATTACCTTTTACAAACGTCCATAATTTCGGGGGTTCTAGAAAATCTCGTTTTCATACTGCTGCGTTTGAGATCGTTCTAATGTGGGTGTTAGGCCAGTACGCAGGGCAGTTAATCCGTTTTTAAACAAACATGGTCACAATTCGCAGGTTGTTACATATGTGTCAGGTTGAGGGTGTAGTTGGTTAAGTAGTAAATTAAAGGGGGGGGGGGCGTCGCTATCTAAAAGTGTGTTGCATATAGGTGCAATGCAAATAAGGTGTGTCAACGTAGCAATTATTTTTTGTACTGTAATTCTTGATTCTGTTGTGACGTGATTTTGTTACATATTTGTGTCCTTACAGGAGTTAAACAGCCAACTGTTCGTAGCAGATCAAGCCGACGGTCCTTCTGTTTCTATTCAGAATGTTGGTGTAAGTGTTATTAATTTTTTCTCTTGTTACCCCCTTACCATAGTGGAACCTCTTTTCGGTTTCTGTGTATAACAATTGGAATGACGTCGTTTCTACCTTGCCAAGAGAACTTTGCAGTCTGGCTTCCACAAATGAGCTTGTCTAGTCTATCCAATAGCATCCACGCGCTGGAATTGGTCCTACATCACTGAAATTGTAAATGCACGTTATTCATGTGGACCTATTTAGGTTTTTGGGAAACTGCCCACCTACCCCTCCCCTAAGCCATCATTTTGTCCTAAGTGTTTTGGGGTTATTTTAACTCCTCGATATCTGGGGCCATTTTTACTCCTGAAGAAGAGTTCTTTAAACTCCTTTTTGGAGTTAAAATAACTCCCTAAAAATCAGCTCCACTTTATGGAGTTAAATTAACCCCACTAGAGGAGTTATTATAACTCCTTGAAAATTATTGTGTAGACTTAATGAGGCATGTGCCGCCCCAAAGGCTATATGCAGATGACAATTTAGCACTTTTAGTAACTCTTTGGCGAGTAGGTCGTGGGCACGCACACGCCCCCCACCCCGCCTCACAGCATGGCATTGCAGAAACCATAGAAATCGAAAGTTACTATCTTTTTTTCACTTATGTGCAAACCTCGAAATCAGCACCACTTTGAGGTAGATTTTCATCAATCAAACGGCTCATACGCGCCGGCGTTCTTTGTATCATTTGATTCACAAAAATATATTTATAAAGATATTTGCGCCTTATATCGTTTGAATATGTTATATATATTTTGTGTTGGAAATGCCTTTTTCAGTCCGAAGTGATGGAGTTTTTCCTGGCCTTGTCGCTCTGCCATACTGTACAAGCTTCCAGAGAGACAAGTCCCAATGCAATCTATGATTATCACTACCAGGTAACGTTGGCGTCCTTTCTGTGAAAATAATATCCATCTGTTTAAAATGTTGTGGCCAGATACCCTGTCATCTAGAACTGCTTGGACTCTACAGGTTTCGTTCGCGTCTTGAAAAGACTTGAATTTCAGGAGTTCAATTTCTAGGCCTTGTTTTGAAGTACTTATATTTGTTTTTGTTGTTGTTTTTTTGTTCTTGAAAGTACTTAAATGTTTTACCGCAGATCATACAACTTTGTGAAGGATAGAGGGCAAATGCAGACAATAGAGAAATTTGTTTATTCGTTCCCAGTGCTCCCTTATTACTCCATGGTACATTTAGCCATAAGGGCACCGGGAATATCCATCACCCGTATATGTTTCCATAATTAATTCAAGCTCTCATTTTTTAGCGTTTCTGCATAAACTCTGAAAAATTCTTGAAAACTCAAAGTAGGGTCCAGGAAAGACCTTGAAAAGTCCTGCGATTTTTGCCCTAAAAAAGTGTATGAACCCTGTCGGCACTGACAGTACAGCTTCAAAAGAGTTGTGAATGTAATGAAAGTATAGTCTGAAATAACTGTAAGTGGAACCTTACTCCAACCAAACTTTTTCTGACTTCAGTTAATTGCAATGTAGCAAAATTTAGACCATTTGAGATGAAAATCGTGTATATTACGTTGTTTTCAGGCGTCGTCACCAGATGAGAAAGCTCTTGTTGAAGCTGCTGTTAGGTATGCTTATTGTTTTATTGAATGATTTTATGTATGATAGCCTTTTTACTGTTTCTCTCAGTTATCTGTTTCAATAAGAGTTATTTATTCTTCAACTGAATTTATTATTGTCTTTAATAGTATTATTGTTATGACCTTCCATTTGAAATTGTTTACAATTCTCACCATTAACGCCGAAAGTAACCAATTGTTAAGTGGTATTTTATTCCCTGAATAAAATAATCATTATAGAGATGCAATCGCAGGATTTTTTTAACCTTTATTAGAACGGCCAAACTCAAAAGTTAAAACAAGAAACTGCCCAGTAGCTAATGTTTTTTGAATGGTCACATTTGTAGAATTCTTCCAGGTACCAAAATTAAAAAAACATGTCGTGAAGCGTAATAACTTATAACAGTTTTACATGAATGTTGTATATTACTCTGAAAACTACACTGAAAAATTTCATCCACAGACTCAAAGATTAGGACCACTTTGTAGTTCTGCAAACAGAAAAAAAAGACAAATGAAAGTACAGTGGATCCTCTCCTTGGGGACACCTGAATGATTGGCCGTATTTTAGAAACACCATGCTCGACACCACGTCGCAAAAGTTTTTCTTAATAGATCGATGTTCCAGTGATCTCCGTTACTGACAAAAAGAAAAAAAAAACAGGTTTCAGCCTTTATGTAAAGCATAATACTTACAATACGTGTTGCTCTAAAAGATATTACACAAGTTTATACGAGCTGCATTTCTTTGTTTGCAGATTTGGAGTCACTTACCGAGGAAAAATTGGTGATGATATTGAAGTCAGAGTTGGGAACGCAGTTGAGAGGTTAGTGAGTGTTCCGTCGCACATCAAGCACCAAAAAGAGGTTAGAAAAATAGGTGCTATTTGGGGACATTTTGCTACTCGTTCGCCGCTATTTGTCTTCTTCAACAAAAATCATTGAAATTGCATTGACGTAGCAGTGATCTCCCTTGACTCCTGAAGTAACTCCTGTGTTGAATCTGTTGGTTTGTTTTGTTATTTTGAGGGTGTAGGGCTAGAGTGAGCTTCCCACTTTTGGAATTTACTAGCGGCCAATTTAGCTGCCACGATTTCTGGACGTTCCTTTCAGGGGAATGCTACCGGTAGTATGCAATTAAAAAATGATTGATTTCGATGGAGGGGTTTTTCTATCAGATATTCAGAAACATCTCAGCGCGTTGATTTGTTTTCGTGTCGAAAATTTTAAGTGAGGTTTGACTTATTTTAAACAGTCACTGTATAATTATAGTGATTGATTGTTATTTCATTATTTTTCTAAATTTCAGATACACCCTTCTCCATGTTCTCGAGTTTGACTCAACAAGAAAACGAATGAGTGTCATAGTAAAGTCGCCACAAGGTTTTGAAATTATTTGATATAGATCCAACTTTTTGAGGCGCAATAACCCACTTGGAATGTTGGAAAAAAAATTCTAAGGGCAGCGCCTATGATATTTTGCAGGTTTTTTCCCGTGTTCTTCTAACATCCGATATCAGGTTACGCTTAGCACATCCAAGTTGAGTTTGCCGTAATGCTTTTCCAGTTCCATTATTGGTCCGTCTATCGATCCTTTTGAAAAGCGTTGAGTATCAGCTATTAGTGTGCTTAAGAAAAGGCCGACATTTCTGACGCCAAAATTGAGACTTTTCCCTTTTAATATGCCATGTAGCTCCCAAATTTGTATCGCTAAGTGTCTTTACTCTTATATAGAGGATTTACCAGAAACTTTTGTCAAAACCACCGCCCAAGAATGAAAAATGTCCACTTCCGGTACTTTATTTCATGTGTCTTGCTTCTAGGTGACACTTAAGCCATAAGCCTTGCAAGGTTTCATCTCAGATTCTTGAAGAAGACTTTCATATGCTTGTAAAAAAGTTAAATCTTAACAAAAGAAGTATCCAATCAAAGAATAACCATTTTTGTTAGAGACGGGGGAAGGGGCACAAAACGGTGCGAAATTATTCGTTTAAGGGAAAGTAGCGCTTTAAAATCGTTTTAGTACCAGTAATACGAAAAAAAAGCTTCCGCATCCTCACAACAAATTCGCGTAGAATTTCCCCTCTTGGCGTCATCCTTTCTAACTATCCTGACAAGATTATTTTTTGCCCCATTGTAGATAAGTATGTGATGTTAGTGAAAGGAGCAGAGACTGCTGTCTTGAACCAACTGGCGTCTGGTCCTGGAGATGTCACTTTAGATCATGTCAATGAGTACGCAGAGGTGCGTATGCAAACTCTGATACCTGGTTGCCCGAACGAAATATACTGTCTTCAGGAACTACAGCCTGAGACACAAAGAAAGAAAGAAGAAAAGAAAAAACGGACTGACTGACAGACAGACACAGACCGCAGAGATAGACAGACAGACATGCGTACAGACATACAAACAGACAGACGGTCAGACAGAACAGAGTGACAGACGGACGGACGGACAGGTGCCGGGCGGGCGAAGAAACGAACAGACCGACCGAAGAAAACCCTCAAAGAAAGAAGGAAGGAAGGAAGAAAGACAGGAAGCACGAAAAAAGCAAAGAGACATATGCAAGCTTTCACGACTGTAGGATTTGTACAAAAGCAAGGGTCGAAATTAGGTTGCTAAGCGTCTTCACCTTTTTGCCCAAAACGCCTACTTTCACTATTTAGTCGGGGTAACCCGCTAGTACAGAGGCCCGGTTCCAGTGGTTAGGTGCGCACGCATTAAGAAAGAAAAAGGCTTGAACAAAACTCCCTTTTGATGGTGTTATATTCACCTTATGTCAACAGAAAGGACTTAGAACACTAGCTGTTGCACGTAGATTTCTTTCTGATGAAGAATACGTTACAATAGACGAAAAGGTAAGCCGAAACAGCATTTTATCCAGGAATGTATTGTATTTGAAATATCCATGTATACGGTCCCCGATTTTAGCTAATACTAATGTGTAATCTTTACTTGCTTTAGCTGAACAAAGCCAAGCAAGCCATCAATGACAGAGAAGAACAGGTATTTGTTAATTGCGGTCTTGGTAATTGTCTAGTATTAAAATTGGTACGTGGTACCAAGGAAAAACACCGTTAAGCAACTTGTAGTAGAATTTAACTGTTCAGGGACTCAGAACTATCATTATGGCCGGGTTATTGAACATTAGTAAAATCCAACTAGTGGTCTATTATCAATGCTGCGTTCTGATTGGTTGAGCTACTAATAGGCTATATGTTATAGCCCACTAGTAGCGTAAAGCGCTGGCTTTTTGGCGGCAAAAAAAGATTAAAGTCTAGCTTTAACTAGCTAAAGCTGTTTTGTCTCGTTATTTTTGACCAACTAGTTGGGTTTTACTTAAACAATTATTCCTCGAGCCGGAATGGGCTCTGAGTCAATAGCCCATTCGGCCTTCGGCCTCGTGGGCTATTGACTCAGAGGTCATTCGGGCTCGAGGAATAATTGTTAAATACTACTGGATAGTGTTGCTGAGTATTTGCTCTCCCCATATGAGGGAATCCAAAGTTCTGGATTCCACGCCGTGGAGTTCAGATTCCAGGCACTGGATTTTAGTCTTTGTCAGTGGAACTTGGATTCTGGATTCCAATCGTTACAGGGATTCTGGATTTCTTGAACTCTATTCCGGATTCCACCAGCAAAAATTTTCCCAATTCCGGAATCCGGATTCCCTTACATGGGCGAATTTGCAACTTTTGTTTTGTTCATTATTTTTTGTCGAACATTCCTTTACTAACAAATCAATTGTCGATAAACTATTAACAGATGAATGAATACATAGAATATTTATTGTAAGCAATGAATTGAATTAAAGTTTAACTCTTTATATTACTAATAACATTTAATGCGATTCTTGTACTTATCTATCCACCTGTGCTTATTTCCAGCTGGCTCGTGTTTATGAGGAAGTAGAAACAATGAGACGTTTTTGTTTCTGAACCCGTCCTTGGAGCATAAACGTGCCGTGGAAGATCGAGGACAAAAGGTGCAAAGATAAACCATGTATTTTGTAAACTTCCTCTTTTCGATGTTATAAATGGGGGCGGGGGGCTTATATCATGGAAGTGGTAACCGGATGAACCAGAGAATAACCGGAGGGGGGTTATAAGCGGAAGTTTAAGGTACTACTCACCTCTGCAAAGAAAGCTGCTCTTTTTTACTTTTTTTTTACAAAGCTAAACGTGTCTTGGCATCAATTGAATAAAAACACCATTCGACTATATTGACAATGTATCCAGCTGCTACGGATTGGTATTGTTGGTTTTTTTTTTTTCAAAACCTTAGTAGTATTTTCCAATATTTTAGAAATTCTCCAAACTGATCTCCATAGATTTCCTCAAAGAATCAGTTGTGAGAATTTTGATAAATGATCAGAGTATTATCCTTGAGGTGATCATTTTATTAAATCTCCCCGTTTTGATAATGTATTATGAGGGAAAATTGATGCGTCACTTTTTAAACTGGAGTTTTGACTGTCACTTTTGCGTTTGTGAACGAAATCCTACGATGTGACCATTCAAATGACAGCTCTCTGTCTGTACTTTCACATGATGCTTTTTGTTTTTCAAAATTTTAGAAAATGAAATTTGTAAATCTGGTCGAAATTTGCCTTTAACTACATTTGGCATTGAAAGGGTTAAGACATCTATCTTTTTGACTATGTCAGTAAATGTTCATATGCTTCCTCATCATCTTTTCTTGTGGCAGACTTCAAGACGGAGTTCCACAAACTATAGAAGCCCTCCGGATGGCAGGCATCAAGGTAAGCTTAACCGACCCATTGTCCCTTTTGTGACCACCAAAACTACCAATGAAAAGGAACGAATTCATGGTGAGAGGTAACTGCATGTTAATTCTAATTTGTTTTGTTTATTGGTCGACTTAGTTTTGCTTTATGGGCCTGGTTCTCTTTTAATCAAGGGAAGAATTAATTCTTTTCGTATTCTCTCGCGCTTCACTTAAAGCTTTTAACATTCTGCATGGACATCATAAGGTTACACACAGTGCTTGTTAGCAAACGGCGTTCCAGGGAAGGAATTTTCCAGGATCGTTGACTAACGTTTGTTGAAAGTCGTGCTAGAGAAGCAGCTAACAGGCGAACAACACGTTGGAGATATTTGATCGTTAAGATCTGGGTATTGAATTGTTAATTCCGGTTAATGTTTAAATTTTGGAGTGGTTCCCTTTGCAACTTGTCAGGAATGTCGTACAAAACACCATGTTGGAGAGGTAGGAATGTAGGGCATAGAAAAATAAGGAATTTGATGTTAGTAAGGACCTTTCCGTTGCAATGTTTCTCTAACATATTGCGTCGTTTTGTTTGACTAGCAGCAAAGGGCTATCAACTTGTGATACATTGCATGAAGGCCTACTGAAAAGTATACTGACTGCTTTTCTTTGAAATTCAGGTGTGGGTTCTTACCGGCGATAAAGAAGAAACAGCTGTTAATATCAGCCACTCCTGTGGACACTTTAAGGTAACAATGATCACCCTAGACTTTGGCGCACTCTTACACATTTACAGGCGTTCCTGTAAAACGGGACCCTTCGCGACTCAGATGGCCCATCTGTATAGCCTAGATGGCCAGCGCCGGTGAATTATTTTGGACAGTGGAGATATTTACCTCCAGGCCAGCCAATTACAGCGAACGAAAAGCACCATTCACTTGCTAGAAACTAATAGAAATCTACAGTACCTGGTTTCCTTTAATCGCAAGAAAAAAGTTATGGCATGTAAATTTAACTGTTAACATAAAAATAATTTTAATATTTCTTTAGACGGGAATGGAGATGATGTTTATCACAAAGAAGGAGACGGAAAGAGAGTGCGAAGAGGAACTTGTTCAATGCCGTGAAAGGTATTTTACCGAAAGAAAATCTTTTATGTTTCCTGAGTCCAGTTTTGGTTTTCCACCAGTTACGTTTCTTGTGCTGCGGCAACAGCTGCTCTTTGCGGCTTGCACAAGCCGTTAAAATACCATTATAATAGTTTCAGGATCGCCAGCGCACATTAAAATCCCGGGTCATTCAATTATTTTGCAGGCGTGACTATTGAAAAATATTAGGTACAAGGAAAATTCCCGAGAAACTCTGGGGAGTTAATTTTTGGTTGACAATGGACGGTCTTTTCGCGTGCCCGAGTGCGAAATTTTCTTCATGGATTGTTGCTGTTTTTCTAAATGACTGAGACTGGAACTACGGTTACAATATATCCCTACACGATTAATTCAACGTCTCAACAGCCGCCCAAGCATTGTTATAAGTACAACAATTCTTTAATTTCAATCAATTGCATAGTTCCAGCTACAGCGGTTGTTTTATGAATAGCGGAATATGTTTTTACAGTGTAAGCGTTTATTTGGGTCTTTATTTGGGTCAAATTTCTTATTTTGAAAAGCTAAGTAACGTTCTTTTATATTGTTTTCATAGATTAGAGCGGCGATCCCCTGGCTCAAGGAAACAATACGGCTTAGTGATAGACGGCGCTAGTTTAAGCCTTGTTTTCAAGGGTCCATATACTGGTAAGAGCATTGTTTTTGTGTGAATGAATGGTCGCATATCCTCCTCACGCATGGCGGCATTTAAGGAAGCTCGATACAGAACGCGACTGTGCACCTACCGAAATATTATATACACCTATGAACGGTTATGCTACCGCTGATTTTTCTTATGGACACTTCATGGTACTGTTCATCATTGAGATAATTTTTCGCTGGTTTTTCTGATCCGTGTGAACCATGTTGACCAGGCTCAGTGCCATAGGGACATACATACATATACATAAACGTTATTTTCCCTTGAATTCGGAGTAGCTTACAGAAGCTAATGTATTCGAGAATAGGTAACTTTCTTAAGGCAGATTTAGCAAAGACATCACAACGTCAAGTTAGGACGCCAAAGCCTGGGGAAAGGACTGAGCACGACCTCCGGTGCTCAATTTGCTGGTGCTCAGATCTGCGCGCGCCATCGTCAAGTTGTCTTTACTTTGGGCGCTTTCCATTTGTCAGAACTGGCCGGCCGGACCTTTGCCCGACCAGTCAGTTTGAAAATGAAAGAGGCTTTTTCCAAGAGTTTTTACTGAAAAACCATCTCTTTCGTGCATACTCTTCAGAAATTGACTAACCTGGCGGGAGAGTTTTGATTACAAGGGAAATTTGCGACGGGAATGGTCTGGCTGGTCAGTTCTGACAAATGGAAAGCGCCCTAAATCTGCCTATTACAACAACGAACGCTTGTTGTCAAGCGTCCGTTCATTTCTGGGTTGTTTAGGTCTACTAAATCCAGAAAACTCCTCTGTGATAAAACAAATCTATTCTTGCCAGATCTAAGACTATTTAACAATCATTCCTCGAGCCTGAATTGGCTATTGATTGTTTTAGTAAAATCCAACTAGTTGGTCATAAATATCGAGACAAAACAACTTCAGCTAGCAAAACGCGATTCAGTCGCCATGGTTTTCAAAGCCGGCGCTTTTCGCTACTAGTAGGTTATAAGATAAAGCCTAGTAGCAGCTCAAGCAATCAAGCATTGATAATAGACCACTAGTTGGATTTTACTAAATATATATAGCTCCAAGCGGAATATTTTCTTAGCCCTAATAATGCTGTTGATCGGCGAAAGCTCGAATTTTTATTTATTATATCATTATCATTATCATTATCATTATCATCATCATCATTATTATTATTATTATTATTATTATTATTATTATTATTATTATTATTATTATTATTATTATTATTATTATTATTATTATTACAGCAGTTAAAGGCCTCACTCGAACGAGGAAAGTAATACATTTGTTCTTCTTTTGGGCTTAGGCGATAACTAAGGCGTGGCTGAAATTTTAAACACGCTGTAAAGTAATTAGCTTTTTTGCCGTTTATTTGTGCTGCAGGGTTGTTTGTGGACATCTGCCGTCAGTGTGTGGCAGTTTTATGTTGCAGAATGTCTCCATTACAAAAGGCTCAGGTAAGTCAACAGTTGGTCCTCACAAGTCCACTAACCATCAGCAATTACTAAACACTAACCTGCTAACAGTGAATATCAAAGTGTCGTTATCACTTGCTGGCAAAGTACTGCTAATAGTCCCGCACAGCAAACGGACACCATCGCCTGACGAAGTATTGTGCGGCACGAGTGAAGTGCAAAACTTATAACAACTGACTTTTTGTGTACTCTGTTAGCAAATTGCAGTCAGAGTGAGCCGACACCAAGATGGGTATCCTCAAAGGTCGACAAAGAAATAGCTATCTTCAAGAAAAATAGAATTCTGTCACATATAATTTGTAGTACCTGCACATAGATCAACCCTACAATATAGCACAAGCCGTATTTGTGAACAAGTCACGGAACTAGTTTTAAGTTGTAAGCACTAGAAGATTTCATTAAGGGTGCCTTTAACGTGTTATAACTTGTGATTTAAAAGAAATGACCATAACTTGTTCGATTGATATCGTTATGAGCATTAATCGATGAAGATTCATTCATTCATTCATTCATTCATTCATTCATTCATTCATTCATTCATTCATTCATTCATTCATTCATTCATTCATTCATTCATTCATTCATTCATTCATTCATTCATTCATTCATTCATTCATTCATTCATTCATTCATTCATTCATTCATTCATTCATTCATTCATTCATTCATTCATTCATTCATTCATTCATTCATTCATTCATTCATTCATTCATTCAATCATTCATTCATTCAATCATTCATTCATTCATTCATTCATTCATTCATTCATTCATTCATTCATTCATTCATTCATTCATTCATTCATTTCATTCATTCATTCATTCATTCATTCATTCATTCATTCATTCATTCATTCATTCATTCATTCATTCATTCATTCATTCATTCATTCATTCATTCATTCATTCATTCATTCATTCATTCATTCATTCATTCATTCATTCATTCATTCATTCATTCATTCATTCATTCATTCATTCATTCATTCATTCATTCATTCATTCATTCATTCATTCATTCATTCATTCATTCATTCATTCATTCATTCATTCATTCATTCATTCATTTTGCCATTAACCACATAAGAACACATCAACAATATACAAGAAATTTATAATACATCAAAGGTAATAGACACTATTCTAAATTATTTACAAATGAGGTAAGTGGTAATGACAAGGACGCCTATATAGAAGCCGGGGGCTTATACGCTATAGGCTTCCTGGAACTATAGGGTACACCATCTGAGTTAATGGTAGTGAATGAAAAATGGATTATTCTAAAAAGAAAAGAAAAAGAAAAAAGAAAAGTATGCAGCTCATCAAAGAGTATATTTGACTAAGAAAGAAGAACTTTTTAAGTCTTGTCTTGAAGTGACTGAGTATGTGTTTGTGACTGTAGATTGTCCATTTAGTCAAGTCTTCTCGTGAGAAGCCCGTAACCCTGGCTATAGGCGATGGTGCTAATGACTGTGGCATGATCCAAGAAGCTCATGTTGGTATAGGCGTGATGGGTAAAGAAGGACGACAGGCCGTGCGGACCAGTGATTATGCTATAGCAAGGTTCAAGTTTCTCTGCAGGGTGCTTCTCGTTCATGGCCACTGGTATTACGTCAGAGCTGCTATCATGGTCCAATACTTTTTTTATAAGGTATCTATGGCCATATGCACCCATAAAAGCGCCCTCACTCAGCTATCCTCGTCTAAGAGCAGCACACTTGAAGAACCAGATATGTCCAAGATTGCAAGCTAATGAGACTCATGCCCTTTATGATGGATATCGCAAAGTGTCCCTTTGAAATGGACGCTCGAGAAATATGACATTGAATTTTGTAAAATCCTGAAAAACAAACAGCACCATTGAAGAGTATTGGTAACGCCACAGGGGTTCATCCTCAGAATCAAAAGTTAGAACTTCGTACTAAATAAATAGTACGACATAAAGGTACTCATAATAAACAGTAACATGTATATAAAGTAGTGCTGAAGTGGTCTCATTTAAATCGTCGTACCATACGAATTTTGTGATCCCGTCAGTTCACTTGGGACGGGTATATATATATTTCCTTTCACCCTGGGCTAATAATTTTTCAAGTTTGAATTCGACGTACTGTTGATTCTTATGAAAACTGGTATTAGTATATTTTATACTACTACATGAGAAATTTCAGCAGTTTGATTGGCTTAGAGAAGTGGTATTTCGGCTTAATTTGAAATACCTACATGTGAAAATTACAGACCTTTTGTGGGTAGTAGTATAAACAAATAGTAGCATGGTTTGAACGTGATATTTGGCATAAATACCACTTGTGATATTTCAAAATTGCCTCAAATTTCACTCGCCTAACGGCTCGTGAAATTTCGTATAACAATTTTGAAATATCACTCGTGGTATTTATGCCAAATATCACTGCAAATCATGCTATTACCTATACTAATTGCTCGACATTGAATGTTATTTCGTTAATTGCTTAACTTTTCTATTCCATTACAGAATGTGAGTTTTATTACGCCGCAGTTCTTTTACGCCTTTTTCAACGCTTTTTCTGGGCAGGTAGGTAGTCTTTCTGATCGCAGTTTTTTCAGTTTTGTGCAAATGAATAATTGGAATAAGTTTTGTATCGTGCTTAACATCAACTCCTTTCTTAAACCTCATACTCGGGTTTTGTTGGTAAACGGACTTGTTTTTTTTCCTCCGGTTTCGCTCACCATCCTCACGCATCCGGTGAAATGGTGACTGCAAACGCATCTTTTCTACAACGCTCTTCAGAATCGCTTATCTTTCACGTGTCGAAGAACGAAAACGGTGGTTTTCAAACACCATGATCATTGATGTCATAAAGTCATACATCATACACTACTAGGATTACGCATGCTTCGTTAGGGATGCTATCGTATTTCCATCGTTTTGGCGTTTTTGTGTGAACCGGCGAAAACGATTCGAAAAAGCTGCATGTGGACAGGGTCTCAAACTGACTAAGTCACGCTGCCTCAGTTTAAGTTAATTTCAACACTCACAGTATTGAGTCTCTCTCTTGAGCCTGTACTTCTCGTGCTATGGCTGACACTTCTCTCTTTTCAACGTCATAAAACAGGGGCCGGTTGCTCGAAGCCTGGTTAGCGCTAACCGTTGGTTAAGAGGTATCAAAATGTATAGGTTTCCATGGTATTTAACGCTGGTTAGCACTAACCATACTTCGAGCAACCCGGGCCTGGCCGCTATTTTTCTAGCCTGCGCCACGGACGAAACAAAACTCTGGTTAAGTCCGTCTGCGAAAGAGAGCGGAAATCCTTGTTGTGGGTCCCCACCTTGGAGCCAGGATTTCAGTAAGCGTCATGATTGGTCTGTTAAAAAAGCCATTGTCGATTTACCAATCAGGATGAAAGGAAATTCGAAAAGTTCTTCCTGTAATTAGTTGGGGTCCCAGAACATCAAAGACGTTACTAACCGAAGTTAAATTACATCTGCAACGCAGGGCACTATTTTTCAAGGTTAATTTTTATGAATTTCGCCCATCAATGCGTTTTTGTCTTTTCTTCCCTCTTTGGCGCGTGTGTGTGTGTGTTTTTTTTAATAAGAAGAAATTACTTTCCCGGACATTTCAGCAAAATTGTCTCATAGTTTGCAAAGTCCTGAAATAAGCCTTTTAATACTGAGCATGACTAAGCCCTAGATTTAAAGATTAGTTTAAGAATTCCCGGTAGAGCTAATTCCATTCGTTTCTGTTTTGGTCTTGCAGCCTTTGTATCATGCGTTTTTTCTAACATCATACAACATTGTCTTCACTTCTCTACCCATTTTTGTGTACGGTATTTTTGAACAAAACGTTGGTGGTGATGCATTACAAAGTCAACCTCGTTTGTATAGGTAGGCTTGCGAACTTATTTATTTATTTACTTGTTTATTTATGACATGAGCACAGAGTCTATTGTTCTTTGAAAGGGGAATATATTACATTACCCCCAAATCAACTGTCTTAGGGTTGATTTCCACTGTCGCGGAATTTTTACGTGCGTACGTAAGTAAAATTTACGTTCGCAAATAAAATAAAGGCAGTGTATGAAAGGTCGCACGTAAGCGTCAAAAGTAGAACTTCGCTCAACCTCACGTTTTATCTCAACACTTTATATCTTGCTTCTATTTTATTTACGCGATTAAAATTTACGTGCGTTAACGTGCGTAGCCAAAAAGGCGTCATGGATTTCCACTGTCGCGTAATTTTTCCGTGCGTAAATAAAATAGAGACATTGTACGGAAGGTCACGCAAATACGTAAAAGTTGAACCTCGCTCAGCTTCTACGTTTACGCGTGGCCTTTCCTACACTGCCTATATTTCATTTACGCACGTACATTTTACGTGCTTTCTCACGGAAAAATTACGCAACAGTGGAAATCAACTCTAAGGCTATGTTCACAATCATCGGATAGCTTTTGCGCGGGGACGAAAATCAAACCGTAAGAACCGTGATTTCGGCAAGATTTCGGTAACGGAGCGAGGCTTCGCCGCGCCGATCTCGATAGTGGCGCGTCACATATCGGAGAGATTCTGAGCCTCACTTTGGTGCAGTGTGCACACGTATTCGTGGGTAAGTAGGACGAGAACTGGAACGACGAAAGTTAGTATTCAGGAGTGTCAACACTTATTTCCATCCGCCAAACTGACGTTGACACATTAATGATTCGTACACAAAGTAGGGTTAGGGTTAGGGTTAGGGTTAGGGTTGGGGTTAGGGTTAGGGTTAGGGTTATATATCTAAAACAAACTAGGGTTCGTCACCAAATCCTCGGTGGTGTAGGGGTTAGAGTGATGCACTCCAGATCGGATGCTCCCAGTTCGAATCCTACTCATTCTATCCTGAAATGTTTGTTTCCTTAAAAATTGAAGACGCTTTGACTTTGATGAACATTTCATCAAGAAATTTCATATAAGAAAAGTGAAATGTCTTGTGAGAGGAGGATGTCAGTTTGGTAGATGGAATCAAGTGACGAGTGAGGATTGACCCTCGTGGTCAACTGCGCCAGCTCAATGATCGGCGGTGGGAGTATGCATTTAAGTACAAGGGCAGTAGTCATATTACTCCGTGCATTTTAATGTATAACCCCTTGTATTTTAATTTGTTCTTCGTGAATAACTTCTCGTTCAATAGCTGTTCATACAGTGGATTTAATCAATATTTGCTTCTATCTTAAGACCTGACTTTACAGAATTTGTTTTAGCCAGAAGACGTTTTCAAAGTTGCGGGAAGCGTTTTTAAA